CCTGCCTCTGAGTTTGACCAGATTCCAAAAGACCTATAGTCTGACCCCTTTCAGCAAGTGTCAAAAACCGTCTCATTTTAAGCTGCGGTTTCAGGTACCTGAACAGTGAACGACAGTGAAAAAGCACCAATGCATGTGTATTGTCCTCTACATTCCATGTATAGAGCGACTTGCACGTGCAAATCATTGACATTAAGTGATTAAGTGGCAGATCCCGATGGATTTCCATATTGACGATTTGAATAAAAAAATGTGCCATTTGTAACAGAATGTATCGGACGTTAAAGAACCTAATAATGTCATTTCAACGGCCTGATGCGTTTTTCCATACTGTAAAGAAGGTTTGTAATAAAAAAAACATTCAGTTGCATAGATTTCAAACAAAAACGAAGATTTCACAACTTTTAAGAAATAGTGTTACCAATAGTTTGACCCTTCATTAATGACGCCGAGTATACACGGACTCACGCACGCACGTCGATGTACTCTACCTCGTCAGACAGTGTCACAAATACCTTTCCATACAGTACAAACATTGAATGTAAATAGAAGTGAGGTTGTGTTACGTGTGAACAGCAACTGCGGGTTTAAACAGATGTCGTAATAGGTCATGGATACGAGACCCAATTGAAATCAGGTTAAACTATCAACAGGATGTCAAAGAATGCCGAGGTCACAATGACCTTAGTCTAGATTTTCAACCCTGTTGCTGAATATTTTGATGGGTGGGGAAGTTATTTACAGCTTTCGACATATGTGTTTCTCATGAAGCATGAATGAATGACTGGACTGTGTATCTGGTGTATTTCGTCCAGAGGTGAGGTGAGGTGAAATTGGGTTTAACGTCGTGCTTGAGAATATTTCGCTCATATGACGACGTGTATGCGTGTGTATGTGTATGTGCAGCTGCTTGTACTAGCACTATAAGCTGGTTTTATAGTGCTAGCCCACTGAGATACCATGCCGCAGTGAAGCATGAATACCCCACTCAGACACATTATACTGACTCCGAGCCGACCAATCCTTGTTGTACCCATTACTGCCGAGCGCCACGCAGGGACCAACAAGAACCATATTTTAACGTTTTTTGGTATGGCGCGGTCGGGGATCGAACCCGCGACCTTCCGCTCTCCGGGCGGACGCTCTAACCACTACACCACGGAGGCGGTCTCGTCCAGAGAAGAAGACCCGTGAAGAGGCGACTAACGGGATCGGGTGGTCAAACTCGCTGACTTGGTTGACAGGTAAAATATCCCAGCTGACTCGATTATTTACTCATCACCGTCTTAAAGCTGAACATCAAACAAGCAATCCAAACAAGAAGACTACCCACAGGGACATCTTATGTTAGCGTAGGTATGACATAACGCTTTTACCCAGCTGAAAGCCAGGTAACACGTCAACTTTAACATACGCTACAGACACAGAAGGGAATCCGTCTTATTCAGTCTGTACAAAGGATATTTTGTTTGTTTGTTTGTCCGTACGAAGGATGTTTTGTTTGTTTGTTTGTTGTTTAACACTGCACTCAGCAATATTCTACCTAGATGGCGGTGGTCTGGACTAGCCAATCCAGTGAATAACATCAGGAGCATGGATCTACGCAACTGAGATATGATGACATGTGTCAACCAAGACAGCGAGCCTGACCACCCGATCCCGTTAGCCGCCTATTACGCCAAACATGATCAGTTACCAACCAGCGGAAGCTTCACCTCTTCCAAAGACGTTTATACATATGCTGCGTCAAAAAATGTCTGTCAATACTGGGTACCATTCTACAAATACTTACTTGGCTTCTCGGTCACCCATTCTTCCCGAGTGTACCTGATATCCTCATATTCCTGCCCTGCTAGTGTAAACAGCAGTCGGGAGGGCTCGGCATAGGCCTTAAGGTCGAAGTAGCGTAATATGTATTTCGGCATGGCTGAGTTTCCTCTGATACTCTCCGCTCTTCCAGTAAAGTCCCGACTGTTAGGTCCAAACTGACGCGTGCATGCAGAAACTGCTGAGTCACAGGTGTTCTATCGCTGCAAGATTAAATATAGCTGCGAGCAGCGATGTAGGGCTCCTTGGCTTTACTTCTTTGGAGCCTTTTGCATCTCTCACATATCTCATGAATGTAGTAATGGTATTAGTTAATATGAATCATATCACTGCTAGTCGAATGCTCTTCGACTGGAAGTACTGGGAGGTCATTAAGTTTCGATAAACTCATCACAAAACCTATTTTCGTACATTAAATAATATCACTTAGGTATCATGAATATCAAAACAGAAGAACCCTTTGTTCAAACAGTCAGAGAAACAGAACATTTTGTGGCCTCAACTATATAATTTGAAAGGTTCACTGTGACTGACATTATGTGAATCTAAATGCAACGTCACATGTAGCTGACAAGTCGTGATGACTCGGTTATTTACAGACCGCGGACATAGAGCTTGAATATTGCTGAGTGTGGCGTAAAACTAAACTCACTCACACTCACGCTCACGCAAGTGAACTTGTGATTACACAGCAGTTAAGGTACTTCAGTAGTTTTGCATCAGTATCCATTACACTGTTACACTCGATCTGTTGCAACTGAATTCGTGAATCGAGAGCAGGTATATATACTGGAAATACATCTAAACTCGATACAGGTCACCTATGAAGTTTTAAAATCCATGCAAACAGCACCGAATTGTTAGCAAAAGCGTATTACTCTTCGGGCATTGCAAAGTCGGCGCCTGGTCGTTGTTGAACGATTTTACTAGCGCTTACTTAAGCTAGACCAGAGTTTCCCCCTTAGACCACAGCTACAACTTTTACCCTGACCCGGAACGCTCAATCATTGACAATCTTTAAATACTGCCTAAAGACATAACCCTTACAAAAGATTGAATTACAATGAAGGAATAGCACCTGTACTGCAGTGTATTTTAATTTTGTGTAGCGCTAGCTCTCGTCATTGTCAATTGAAATTTACATCGTCTCCCATATCTGCACGTGGACCACGCTTTGCAGTGGTAGTCTCTTTATAGGAGATATCGTCCTTGCGCCTTCCTTCAGACTGTCGCATGTTTTGCACGGGTAATCTGCCGTGCCGTAAATGTCGATGAAACTTATGACACATTCGGCAATGTATCCCTGGGCCGTCGGTGATAAAAAGAAGTCCTTATTTTGTTAAATCTGTCCAAACTTTGGGTTTTTGAATGTAAGCATTATTTATGATCACTGGTACGTTGTTGGAAGACTTTTTGCGTGACGTTTCGCGTGTTCTGCCTGGAGTTGTGAGTCAGTTTGTTTGGCACTCTTTTTCTTTCATTTGGGGCACGTCTCAAGCAGTTTTTTTCCCTTTTAGCTCCCATACGTTTTATCCACATGGATAATGTTGAACAGATGTTTTTGATCAGTAAATTTTATGGCGCTCTTCAAAGTTTGAAAGCCGTAGCGCTTGCAGGGTCTTTTGACATAGGACCAAGAACAGAAAATGTTCAACAACCAAAGGCAACTTCAGAACAAGCGTTTAAAGTGTTGTATGTGGTAAGTTTCGTTTGGCACAAAATAGCAAAGTAGCCCGTGAAAGTTTTTGAAGACAACTTTTGCCCAAAAGTAGCGTCCAATATGGCGGCCATCATATAAACATAGGCACATTTGACGATGCTACTGTGTAGAAACATGCATAGACACAAAGTATGCAACGTTTGAAAGCCGTAGCCCTTGTAGTTTTAGTGCAGCACATTTTGGGAGGTATGCAGTCAGGATTTTGCTGAAAAACATCAACAAAAACTTCAATCCCAAATAGCGTCCAAACGGTGCATTTTAGCGACTTGAGCCGTCCAGGCGAAATTGTAGGCATTTTGATTGCGCATCTGCTCAAGAACTTTGGCACACATTGGAGCATTAGTTTTGGAGATATTTGAATTTGAAATTGACATTTTTGAATTAATTTTGAATTATCTGCCCTTTGCTATTGGGCCTACAGCCTAGAGATTTTAAAGCGCGATATCTACACCTCGGTGGGCATCTGGGTGATTTTTGTCAAGGCATTTTGTCCAGCGGAGCTCTCTGTAGCTCTGTTACAAAATACGGCGGAAGAATAAATAATAATAATAATAATAATAATAAAAACACGAACGATTACAATAGGTCTCCTGCCTAAAGGCAAAGGAGCCCTAATGACACTATTGTTTGCCATTGTTATCGGGATATGTGAAATCTGCCTTTTCAAGGTTTTAATGGAAGTATGACGAAGAACAGAAAAGGAACAAACGTGTCAGACTAATATTTTGTCCACAAAGTAAAGTAGTCTTTATGAAAAACCCATAAACATATGTAAATGTAACCAATAGACAATGATTAATTTCAGGAGCTGCGGTATTATGACTGATTACCTAGACTGTTCTATTGTAGACATGATTGCGATTCTTTTAATTTCTGTTTGCTGCGACTTTTCCTCTACTCCATCGTAGCTATGTTCCGGGGAAGCATCCCAGCAGCTTGTTTAAAGAGACAGATGGGGATAGGGAGGTCAGGCTCGGTAAGTTGCAGGATGCTTGTTATCGTATCCAATTGTGTAGAATGATTCTCAGATCGGCAATCACTGGATGTCGCTTATTTATAGATGGAATATTGTTGGGTGAGGCCTTAAACAACAAAATTCCCATTAAACGCTTGCCATTTCTACATATATGTATTTCCATACACGCACACGCACACACACACGCACACGCACGCACACACACACACACACACACACACACATATATATATATATATATATATAATATTATATATACTCATGCCAATAATGGTTGTCACCCCCTTCAATTTTTTAATTGGAGAGGGTGTGTGGGGTGGGGGTGTGGGTGACAACCATTATTGGCATGAGTATATATATATACTACCCATCAAAAGTTTAGACTAACTAGTGTAAATATAGCCACTTACTTCAGGCAACTGTCCTGAACTAGATGTTGCAAAATATTCCATAACGTTTAAAGGTACTGTTTACACATGAACTGATGTATTGTAGAACAAACTCGTAACGTTGAAAAGATTATTGTCATGAGTTCAATAAATGATGAAACTCAGTGAAAATTGGCGAATTCTTAACAAAACTTTACACCACTACGCAGGTGTTCACATGCACGATATTTGTACATGTTTTTCAGCAATTTGATGCACGATCCTCGTGCAGTTCATCTGCATAAGGTTTGCAGTTGGTTCCCCTAAGATAGTGGAGAAATTCATCTTCGATGTAACCCCATGTATATACATAACATATAGTGAGTGTTTTAAGTGAGTGTAAACTTTTGATGGGTAGTATATATATGGACAGACAAAGGAAGAGTGAGAGTGCGACAGAAAGACATACAGACAGTTAAATTATACATTTACTTAGGATGTCATATCAAATAAAAGAGGAAGAAAATAACGAACACAATAACACAACATATAGCATACGATGCGATGCATTATAGTGACAATACCCCCAGGTAGGTTTGTAACTGTAAACCCGAAAGGTCAAAGGTTGCAATTACCTTCGTCAGAAAGTTCGATGCACTTCCGGTTTAAAAGTGTCACTTCCGTTTCAGGAAAATACATATATACTTATGGAAACGAATAAGGGAACACATGAAAACTACAAGTGTTCCTGTATTCTTTTCCAGGTTTCTTCACAATGTATGGATTCCACAGTGGGTGAAATTCTGGAAATAGATATAGGAACATGTGTACTTTCCTGTGTCCCCTTATTCGTTTCCATGGGCGGTGGGGTAACCTAGTGGTTAAAGCGTTGGCTCGTCACGCCGAAGGCCCGGGTTCGATTCCCCACATGGGCACAATGTGTTAAGCCCATTTCTGGTGTCCCCCGCCGTGATATTGCTGGAATATTGCTAAAAGCGGCGTAAAACTAAACTCAGTCAGTCAGTCAGTATTCGTTTCCATGAGTATATGAAGCGAAGCTGTAAAAGAGAAATATGCCCGGTTGTCAACGGTGTACTCAAGCTCTGGTGTTTCACCAAAGCGATAACCTCTGACAACTACGTCACTTCTGGTTTATTAAACTGACACGTCGTCATATGTCTGTTCAACGCGCCGTTAAAACCAACTCACTCACACACTAAAACAGTAATCTCCTTTGCTCATGCTTCTTCTTTCGCCACAGGTTCAGGAAAACATTTGCCTAAAGCAACGGTTCTTTAAAGCAGGGAATCCTACACTCCTATCAACCTAAATTAGAAAGTTATGCACACACATAGAGACACGGAGGGCTGGGACTACGTTAAGTTAGTCACGAATGATCATTCTTGTGGCCTTGACCTCAGTAAAGGTCACTCAAGAACCTCACTGGAAGCACGTTATGTGAACACCATACACTTGAGAATTTAACTTGAGATGGAATTTGACTTTCAGATTTTTTACTTTCAGGAACACCCAAAATGGCTTTCTTACCAGTTATCTGCTAGTTGGAGTTACAGTCACATATGCTGTGGAGATGATGTAACCTGATTAACACGACATCATCTTAGTGCGACGACTACAGCTCAGGACTCGTGGAACCGGTGCAAAGTGTTGTCCATTATACACCTACCCATGTCATGCACAGGTTGCTGATTTGTAAGTCGCAGCATACTCACTCCCCCCCCCCCCCTGTTTAGCAATACCTGTGTGCTTGCATTCCAATGCACGTGTGATTGCTAAGGTAATCACGCGCTACGCGTGATTGTTGTGTTTTACGTTTTTTCAAGCTTTATGACTACATCTTTCCCGTTGGCCGCCAAGTGCATGTTGAAACAGCCTAAAAAGAACTAAACTGAACCCCCCCCTTCACTGTTCCATTGCGTTGCTAATTTTGTTGAGTATATTATGTTTTTGTACCATCACTGTCAAACAACCTTTCCCAGCCAGTAAATAAAATGTTTACATGCGTTTTTTCAGGAACAGAATTACAAAATAACCACACAGCACCTCAACAATCTTCTGTTTATTGAAACCAAATTATTTTTACAATACTCTATCAGAAAACAACATGAATTAAATCATTCAAATGTTCCTGTTGCTCATATTTGTTAACACTGCTTGGTACCGTTAAGCATTACAGTATCTAGAACTAGTACTTTAAGAGAAATGTTCATGCGTCACGGATCACATCTCTGTAACCGGCCGTTTCTCAAGGTATGCTTTGATTCTAGGGTTGGCCAAAACGTTGTCACTGCATTTCTTGACCAGAGGGTAGTCTTCCAGCTTGACCACTGACGACATTTTATCAGCGAGATCAAACACACTGGCGTCTGCAAGACTGATCTGAAAACAAGTACCATTAGATCTGAATATAAGAGTAGGGTAACGATGCTAGATAAATAGAGATCATTACATGAGCTGGTGTCATACGACTTATACGAAACGAGTGTGAAATTTTGCAAAACATAATTTTGCACGAGTTTCGTATAAGTCATGTGACACACTTGCTCGAGTGTAATAATGTCTTTATCATCCATTTTATTCATGTACATTTGTGCAGTAAACAAAGTAAGCAAGTGTGACGGCCCTCTTCATTGACGTCAAGTTCCATTGTTTAATGACATCACAGAACACGAAATACAGATACAATGGCTGCTGGGCAAAAGTGATATGTGCACATATGACATATACGACACTGGTTATGTTTCACCATATGGGTAATAAGGTGATATACGTATGTTTTTTAAATATTTCCAAAGCACCAGGTGTGTACTTTCTTTTACACGTCCCTATGTTTTCGATATACATGTTGTTACTTCAAATGATTTGAGTTACCTTCTTGCCAACAAAGAACCCAGTACTGCCACTTTTCTTCAGCAACTTCTCAAACATCCCGAAATACAACGGTACTTGGACTTCCTTCAAATCCTTCATCTTCTCAGCCTGAAAGGATAAAGCCGTTACATCATATATTGTTCTCGGAGCCACCGTCATGTTATAAATGAAGTATTGATAAAAGCGATGTTGTATATACTAATTGTAAAGCTGTAAATCTCATCTGATGTCACCTTTCTAAAAAGGCTGAGGGTTTCATTACTTAGCTACACAGCACCGATATAGAAAACATACATACCATCGATGGAACTCGAGTTTGGGTGATGAACCCATGGCGCTCAGAAACGACCTGTCTTTCAACTGTTCAACCCCATTTGAACATGTGTTATTTGAAAGTTCCTGCTTTAAATTTCTAATATGTTGTAAGAAGTCGAAGTAAAGTTTAGGAATATACCAAACTGATAGCATTCACTAGAATTGCCTGATTGCTTTTTTATAGTTCAAAGGTATTTTTCGCAAAGGCACTTGCGTTAATTTGGTGACGTGTTAGAATTATGATTACAATTTACCATCGACAAGGAGTTTGGTTCTGACAGTCCATGCAAGGATCATGTTTGCTGAGAATCCAGGGTCAGCAGATCCTGCTACGCCTGAGGGATGTAAGGCGAATAATATGCGGAAATCTCCACACACAAGGATTACTCTACCTTCACGGCTTCGTCTTTCTCGAAAACGGTTCGCGCGTAGGTCATGTAGATGTCCATGACCACACCGAGGACCTGGTCCATCTCTAGGGCCTCCAGATCGCCGTTACCATAGAAACCTGACACAGATGAAATAAGGAAATTCACATCTTCCTGTCTCTGTCTCTGTCTCTCACTCAAACAAGCACACACACATGCATACATACACACATACACGCACACATACATACATAAATACATACATACATATATACATGCATACACGCAAACAAACATACACACATACATATCCCTCTCTCTCACTCACTCTCTGTGACGAAATTGTCGACTCACCAAATATCTTTGCAAGATATCTGTATATGGCGTTACTCTGAGGATAAAATTTCCCATCAATCTCAAGGACGGGCAACTGACCCAGTGGTGTTTCTGTAAAACAAAGTTGTGAATAATTAGCATAGTGGATTACCTCGGTGTATATTTTCAGCTCCATACGGAGTATAAAACCCAAGGTTAATAGTCGTATCCGGGTCTACGTACCCATTAATTGTTGTTGAAGACAGACATACTTCTACCAAAGTTACATCTTTCATTTATGCTGCTTGTGCTTCACCTGTCCAACTATTCTCTCCGCACACATCGGCATTATTTCAGCTATTATTTGTGAATACTATTCGCGTTGTGTCATTGATTCGTGGATTTCTCCGCGTATGGACTACTGCACTCTGCTGAACTTACATTCTATTTATATATTATATGATTATGTTTCTGAAGACCAATTGTTACCCGGAACATCACAGGCGAAATACGATGTAATCACTATATATAACTAACACTATAAAGTGATGCTGTCTTTGTCCTCAATAATGTTTATAGAACAGCCAGCCATTAAATACATATACACGACGTAAAAAGTAAAGTATTTCTGTCTCATCGTTTATGTCTGATGATTGTGGGGCGGTGGGGTAGCCTAGTGGTTAAAGCGTTCGCTCGCGATCGTCACACCAAAGACCCTGGTTCGATTCCCCACATGGGTACAATGTGTGAAGCCCATTTCTGGTGTCCCCCGCCGTGATATTGCTGGAACATTGCTAAAAGCGGAATAAAATTAAACTCGCTCACACACTCTGATGATTGTACCAACTTTGACTCAGCAAACCGCTGTTCAAATGTATTTATCAAAGGTGTCTCTTTCACGGTGGGTGTCACCATACACAGCACAGCCATTAAACATGCAGATCTATCACGTTTTGTGAATTGCAACTGCTGATTTAAAAATGATTTCTGAATGCAAGGCACTCTTGAAATTAGGATGATTTGGTTGGGTTGTTGTTTAATGCTGTTGATGATTACCCCAATACGGATTCACACAAGCCGATGATTTCAACTTGAGAATAATCCACCCACAGGCAAATTGTAGCGCAAATAGGGTTGCAAGACAACGAGAAAATTATCTTCCTATAACCGCGCAAAGTGAGCAAAGGTCGGCAACGTACTTCCCTCGCTGCAATTCGAAAAATATTGACGTCAAAATATAATATCGCCACCGTCAAAGGTAGACACCCATTTCCTCACAGGGTTGTGCTCTCAGACTCCCAACCTCATATTTAATAATTACTCACGTACAACATATTTAATTTAACGTTTTAAGCGGCTGATACGATGACATGTGTCAGAATAACAGGAATTACCATAATTTAACTTCTTTTGTTTGAACAAAGAGCTACCAGACAAAAAATACAGGTCATCACTAAGCTAGCGCGCTGGAGTTTCTTGGATCCTAGGAGTTTTCGCTTCATTCATATACGTATACCTGTAAACGTGAATTTTCAGCACAGTGGGTGATCTCTCTCTCTCTCTCTCTCTCTCTCTCTCTCTCTCTCTCTCTCTCTCTCTCTCTCTCTCTCTCTCTCTCTCTCTCTCTCTCTCTCTCTCTCACACACACACACATACATCCACACATCCTTCCATCCAACATCCACCATTCACCCACCCATCCATCCAATCACATCAGATCAATTCTAATCCGGATATTCACGTAGCGATGACATAACTCACACACGTAGCTGAAAATTATAAAACGGTTCTCATGTCCGGATACCTGTGAAGGTCCGGGTTAGAATATTGATCTTCAGTACGCCATGCTTGTCGTAAGAGGCAAATATAACGGGATCGGGTGGTCAGGCTTGCTGACTTGGTTGACACATGTCATCGGTTCCCAATTGCGCAGATCGATATGCTCATGCTGTGGATCACTGGATTGTCTGATCCAGACTCGATTATTTACAGACCGCCGCCATATAGTTGGAATATTGCTGAGTGCGGCGTAAAACTAAACTCACTCACTCTCATGTCGGGAAGGTTTAAAAACGCCCTAGCGAAAGTTCAATCCGATATTGCCCTTTTTCGCTGAGAAACCACACGATATGAGAATCTTCCACTTGATCAATGTACATACCCTTTGTGACATAGAGCTGTTTTAGACGAGGTGCACGTCTGTCAACACGGATCAGACAAAAGCAGTACTTACTTGGCTTCAAGGCCGGCCATTCTTCCCTAGGGATCCGTATGTCCTCAAACTCCTGTCCTGCTAGAACAAACATCAGACGGGGCAGTTCCCCAAAGGCCCTAACGTTGAAGTAACGGAATTTGTAAGTCGGCATGGCTAAGATTCCCCATGTACGCTACCTTCTACTGTCGTCGACTGTTAGCTCAGAACTGACGCCCGTATGCAGAAAGTGCTGTGTCACATGCGGTGTATCGCTGCAGGGTTAAAGATGCCACTGTTATCGTGAGGTCTGACGTGGCTTTCCAAGGTTAAGTTTGTGCTACGACAGTTTGTGTGGGGCGTATTTGAAGGTTGGTTCTGTATTTGAATGAATCTGTGGCCTAGATGGAAATATAAGAAAGACAAAAGCAACTAACCTGTCACACTAAGATATATAGTGTGACGGGTGTTATATAGAATATATCTGCATATCTGCCCATGAATGTATGTACAGTATGTGTGCATGTATGCATGCATGCATGCATGCATGTATGTATGTACGCATAACCAGTGTTTGGTCTTCAGAATATCCGTACACAACCCGGTTACATAATTGGTTATATATACATATGTACGTATGTACGTACGTAAGTGTGTATGTGTGTGTATGCATGCATGTATGAATGTATGTATCGAGAAATATCGTTACAGTAAATGTGTCAAATCAGGAAATGTGTAAATTTCCTGGAATATTTAGGAAATGTGTACATTTATTATATTAATATATATTGATTTTGATATGTATCTATCTGCAAAATTTAAATGTAATTTAAATTTAGGAGGTGGCGTACTCTGACTGATCATAACATTCTAGACTTGACGAGGAATCCCTATTCATTTGGCTGTTTTGTTAATGTCAACGCTCTGCTAAATTAAGGGACACTGTGGATTGGGTGGTCAGTTTCGCTGCATTGCTTGGTGCTTTTCATCGTATCCCTATTGTGTAGGCTATTTCTCACGTGGGCTATCAATAGATCGTCTGGTTCAGACTGGAATCGTTAAAGAAATATAGTTGGAATATAGCGGAGTGCGTTTTTAAGAAACAAACAAGGTGGAGTGCGTTTTAGTGTAACCAGATATTATCCATTTCGAGATTCGTGTCGAATAAATAATCGTATATTCTACAGGGGAACTGGAGACTGATATTTGTATGACTAAAATCTTTGAGCTACAAGGGTAATTCTCACACTTCGTACCCCCATGCACATTTCTTTTGTAATGAAATGTTTCAACATGGGAACGAACAATGTAATCTAACCGGTGAAGATCCGGGTTAGAATTGATCTTCAGTAATTAATGAGGTGACTAAAGGGATCGGGTGGTCAGGCTCGCTGACTTGGTTGACATCGTATCCCAGTTGCGTAGATCGATGCTCATGATGCTGCCCACTGGATTGTCTGGTCCAGACTCGATTGTTCACAGACCTCCACCCCATGTCCCCCTGCTCCTCAGTTCGACTGATCGGATACATCTGTGAGATAACTCACACAGCCATCATACGATTGTTTGCCGCAGTCAAACGCAAGTACCCGTGAAGATCCGTGTTAGAATTGGTGTAAGAGGCGCCCAACGGCATAAGGTGGTTAAGCTCGCTGACTTGGTTGTATTCCAATCGTATCCCAATTTCGTACATCGATGCTCATGATGTCAATCACTGGATTGTCTGGTAGAGAATATATGCTGGAACATTGTAGGGGGCTGCATTTAACAACCAGCAAACAGACAACCAAGGAAACAACAAATACACCCACATATTCAACAAAAACATGTACTTCCAGAAAACTGTCCGCCACACTTGACGAAAGACCTACACATTGACTTTCAATATGTATGACTCACGTCACGATCTCGGCCCCGTCAAGAGAGATAACCACTATGTCACATTGAACTAAGGAAAATCCTTATCAAGTAACTTGCTAAAAATGTGGGACCATAAGATAAAACATTATCAAAGTGATAAAAACGAGATATGATATGACAACATATCATACCATAAGACTGACTGACTGACTGAGTTTGGTTTTACGCCGCTTGTAGCAATATTCCAGCAACATCACGGCGGGGGACACCAGAAATGGGCTTCATACATTGTACCCATGTGGGGATTCGAACCCGGGTCTTCGGCGTGACGAGCCAACGCTTTAACCACTAGGCTACCCCACCGCCCCCATACCATAAGATATGTAGCCCTTGCTGATAATTGATCTCCATGAATACAGGCCGTCTTAAGAACATGATTCGTGAGTGAGTGAGTTTAGTTTTACGCCGCACTCAGCAATATTCCAGCTATATGGCGGCGGTCTATGAATAATCGAGTCTGGACCAGACAATCCAGTGATCAACATCATGAGCATCGATCTGCGCAATTGGGAACAGATGACATGTGTCAACCAAGTCAGCGAGCCTGACCACCCGATCCCGTTAGTCGCCCCTTGCGACAAGCATGGGTTACTGAAGATCAATATTCTACCCCGGACCTTCACAGGTTAACAACATTCGTATACAGCGCTGATCGGGTAGCCAAGTGGTTAAAGTGTGCGCTCTTCACCCCAAAGAACCGACTTATCAGTGTATGAAGGGCATCTCTGGGGTCCCCGCCTTGATGTTGCCGGAACGTGATTAGTGAGTGGGTTTAGTTTTACGCCACGTTTAGCAATATTCCAGCAATATCACGGCGGGGGACACCAACCATGTGGGGAATCGAACCCGGGTCTTCGGCGTGACGAGCCAACGCTTTAACCACTAGGCTACCCCAACGCCCCGAATTTTGCTAAGAGCGGCGTACAGACTTATTCACTCACTCACTCATTCGTAAACTCCCAGTTGGAATTAAGAATAGGGACATGTGGCACGAACCTGACTCATTCATACTCGTCTAGGCTGTGCTGTGTACTGAACCACACCCACTGTAAAAGATGACACCCACGCCAAACCGAAAAGAGTGTTCCGACAGTTTTGTATTTAATTTTTTAACAAATATTTGTTTCCAGCTCTTAGTAGAGCTGAATACTGGGTACGGTCGTTGCGCGAGATATTTTTCCGCGAAAATTGCACCATATTTACTGTACGTATTTTAGTTTATCAAGAATGTTTACTTTTTTCGCTTCGCAGCATTTCCTCGCCGTTCCTTAACAGAACCACTGTTTGTTAGTAATAACCTTCCACATGAGACATGTCAGTTTGTCTATCTGACTGCAGTGCATTTGTTCACATGTGAATTGATGTCATGCAATCCACTCCACTCCTTTCAATTTCTTCAACACTTCTCAGCTTGCGAAATTTAAACAACGCAACTGGAATGAAATTCTATCGCTGTTCCATTGGTTTCTTTTCCAAATACATGTATAGTCCACTGAAACTGACACGCCAAACAAGCAGGCCATCACAAGATGGGTTTCAAGTATTTTAACACCAAATGAGATACTGACTGAACAACATATTCAGGACCCTTTGGCCAGTTATGAAAGGAATCCTGGAAAATGTGTGATGCGAATTGTAAATATTTTTTGGGGACATGTACGTACATGACTATGAAACCTCTTAATAAACAGTGAAAAAACACCCATTTTGAAACAAGATTTTTGAACAAAATATTTAATATTTGTTTCTGGTTGTTAGTAGAGTGTTGGGTACCGTAGACAAAAAGTTTTTTTCCGTTCATTGTAAGATATCAACAAATTTATTTTGTTTATTAAGAATGCTTGCTTTTGCGTTTTTCGGCATTATAATTTTAAATCTAATATTTAATAATGGATTCCTATTGCGCCTGGTATCCAACACGATACTGTTCAACGGCGCATCAGAAAGTCTATCCCGGATAACCCAAGCTGCCTGTTTTGCGCTAGAATGTTATAGTCACATGACTTATCCCACCGGGTATCCATTTTCTGACGGGTGTTTTAACCGTTCCTTTACTTAACTATTGTGTGCTGGTTATGGCCTTTCGCATAAAACGTTCCAATTGGGTTGTCTGGCTGGAGTATACATATTGAGCACGGACTTAAATTTGAAATAATGTCACGATTCCTTCACTTCCCTGTTAGAAAAGTATAACAATGCAATTCTAATGAAATATAAACACTAATTGTATCAGGGTTTTTCAATACTTTCTATCTTAACTCACTCCAAACGGACCATCGCATGGGTTCCGAGAATGTTGACACCGAATCAGATACTGACACGACATATCCAGGGACTTTGTGCCACTTAAATCGATCAAATTAATCGAGAGCAGAAACTTCAGAGCAACTGTTGGAAAAGTATAAAAGTAGTAAAAGTGGGTGGCGAGAGAGACCCACAGACAGATGTGCGGGTGCTGCAAGTTTATTTTCAAAATTAATACGTTATTAAAATGAGCTAGTTTATTTTCACACCATCAATAATCAGGATTGCTTTGTAAAATGATTTGAGATTGTTTACTTGCTGTCTATGACTATGACTGTTTTGTCAACCTGTATAATGAATGATACAGGAAATATAACACAACCTTGGGGAACACCACTTCACACACTATTTACCCTTGTTGACATGCCTGTATGGCAGTTACATACAGAATATTTAAGTGTGAACACTTCTTTTTTACCAGGTCTGTTCTTTAAACTGTTCTTTACATGGGTGTTTTCCGTTTAATGAATCCGCCTGAATTACAACACTGAATTTATGGTAAAGAAAGGACGGTGACACACTGCTACCGATACATTTCCTAGTCAGTATCTAAAATGTGGAAATACTGCTTACTTATGTTTCCTTTCGAACAAAACTGAGTCTCAAAATGAACCGATACAGGAGCATGTCTTTCTGTTTTTCGTAAGAAAATAATTACAATATTCTATAACAAATCGGGAGTTACATCTTTGTTACGATACGCCTGTTTGTATATGTTCACCATTATTCCCCAAAGCACTTATCACTTGTACATAAGGGACCAGATCCGAGAAGATCCGGGTTTTAAAATTGGTCTTCAGCAACCCATGATTGTCGAAAGAGGGTGTTGTAAGAGGGTGCCAGCTGCGTAGGTCGATACTCATGGATTGAGCTGGTCCACTGGATTGTCTGGTCACAGGACTGTCTGGTCCAGACTCGATTATATAAAGACCGCCGCCATATAGCTGGAGTATTGCTGAGTGCGGCGTTAAGCAACAAACAAACGCAAGGGACAATGTCGTTATATATCATGTCAGAACGCTGTAACTGGTCGTTTCTCAACCCATGCTTTGATTCCAGGGTTGGCGCCAACGTTGTCAATACATTTCTTGACCAGAGGGTAGTCTTCCCACTTCACTATCGCCTCTGGGGTTTTATCATAGATATCAAACAGACTGTAGTCAGCAATACTAATCTGAAAAAAAGTGTTCATACATCAAATTACAAACTGGAAATTCAAAGATGGTTAGTGTGGATTTGGTTCTCTAGGTGAAATTTTCGGCTTGTGTGAAAATGAGACATTATTTATACCTATTGGGGTAATCAGCAGCAGTTGATTAAAGAAAAACAGTACATTTGTCAAAGAGATCAAACAGTGTTTCACGTTTCATCGTTCTATCATCCGTAATTTTACAAGCTGAAATATACTTAAGAAAATCAACAACAGTTTCCGGAGGGTTGATGTGAAGAACATTTATCACTTTGATAAACGGCGTCAGGTCAACTGGCCCTCACCCCGAACAATGACGCGCCATAGAGGAGATTATAGTGCTGTACGGTTGAAATGTCTTCACGGTAAAGTAAACATTTTGGTTTTCTATGCATAAATATTGAAATCTGTGAGATGTATTCGTTCCGTTACCGCACTGGTATAACCGTGGTGGTGGTAGTAGTTTGTTGTTGTAGTAGTGGTGGTGGTAGTAGTTGTTGTTTTAGTGGTGGAGGTGGTGGTAGTTGTTGTTTTAGTGGTGGATGGATGGTAGTTGTTGTTTTAGTAGTGGTGGAGGTAGTTGTTGTTTTAGTAGTGGTAGTTGTTGTTTTAGTTGTTAGTGGTGGTGGTGGTAGGTAGTTGTTGTTTAGTGGTGGTGGTAGTGGTAGTTGTTGTTTAGTGGTGGGTGGTAGTAGTTGTTGTTGTTTTAGTGGTAGGGTAGTAGTAGTTGTTGTTTTAGTAGTGGTGGGTAGTAGTAGTTGTTGTTTTAGTGGTGGGTGGAGGTAGTTGTTGTTTAGTGGTGGACAGAGTGGTTGTTGTTTTAGTGATGTTGTTGTTGTTTTAGTGGTGGTGGTAGTAGTTGTTGTTTTAGTGGTGGAGTAGTAGTTGTTGTTTTAGTTGGAGTAGTAGTTGTTGTTTTAGTGGTGGACAGTAGTAGTTGTTGTTGTAGTGGTAGTAGTGGTTTTAGTAGTTGTTGTTTTAGTGGTAGAGTTGTTGTTTTAGTTGTTGTTTAGTGTTTAGTGGTGGACAGAGGTAGTTGTTGTTTTAGTGGTGGTGGTGGTAGTTGTTGTTTTTAGTGGTGGACAGGTAGTAGTTGTTGTTGTGAGTGGTGGAAGTGGTAGTTGTTGTAGTGATGGTAGTAGTAGTTGTTGTTTTAGTGGTGGAGTGAGTAGTTGTTGTTTTAGTGTGTGTGATGGGTGGTAGTAGTTGTTGTTTAGTGGTGTGGTGGTAGTTGTTGTTTTAGTGGTGGGTGGTTTGTTTAGTGGTGGATGGTTTAGTTGTTGTTTTAGTGGTGGTAGTAGTAGTTGTTGTTTTAGTGGTGGAGTAGTAGTTGTTGTTGTTGTTTTAGTGGTGGTAGTGGTAGTTGTTGTTTTAGTGGTGGGTGGAGGTAGTTGTTGTTTTAGTGGTGTTGGAGGTTGTAGTTAGTTGTTGTGGTAGTTGTTGTTTTAGTGGTGGGTGGTTAGTTGTTGTTGTTTTAGTGGTGGTGGTAGTAGTTGTTGTTTTAGTGTGGTGGTTGTAGTAGTAGTTGTTTTGTTGTTTTAGTGGTGTAGTAGTAGTAGTTGTTGTTGTAGTGGTGGGTAGTGGTGGTAGTTGTTGTTGTTTTTAGTTGTTGTTTAGTAGTGGTGGTGGTAGTAGTTGTTGTTTTAGTTTTAGTGGTGGTAGTAGTAGTTGTTGTTGTTAGTTTTAGTGATGTAGTAGTAGTTGTTGTTTTAGTTGTTGTTTTAGTAGTAGTAGTAGTTGTTTTTGTTGTTTTAGTAGTGGTAGTAGTAGTAGTAGTAGTTGTTAGTAGTAGTAGTAGTAGTAGTAGTGTTAGTAGTAGTAGTAGTAGTAGTAGTTTTGTTGTTTAGTAGTAGTAGTAGTAGTAGTAGTAGTAGTAGTAGTAGTGGTAGTAGTAGTAGTAATGGTTAGGGCTTCACCTTCTTGCCAACAAAGAATCCATTACTGCCATTCTGTTTCAGCAATTTCTCCAACATCCCGAAATACAGCGGTACTTTGACATCCTTTATCTCCTTCGCCATCTCACCCTGAAAGGATCAAGACGTTACATACAGATAGAGCTGTACACACATAGGGTATCACCTCACTCACTGACTTACTCATTCACTTACTCACTTACTCACTGACTCACTCACTGACTCACTCGCTCGCTCACTGACTCACTCAACGGAACACTGAGGGGAACTTGTTTAACCTTTTAATGGTGAACTTTGTTGATCACCAGTCACTGAGAAACCAATAATTAATACCCATCTGACGTCAAATTGTCACTAATACGCCTCAGTGAAAGAGTTTAAGGCCATCTGAATTGAGGATGACAATGGTTGATCAGGTCATTTTTAGGGTTGGGTATTGCCAAAATTTTCGTATTGCGATTTATTGTGATATCTGTTGGCGTATTGCAATATGTCTTGCAATATATTGTGAAAGTGTAACACATGGGTTAAGCTCATGAAATTACTGTTTCCTTTCTTTTGAAACAATGCCACTGGCCACCGTCAGGACTCAGATGTAATTGTACAAGAGAGCAATTGAAAATGTTTCCAAATTGAAGACTTCGCTCTAAAATTTGGAAACCGAGAAAAAGCGTAGCAGCGGGGTCCGCCGTTTTGGTGTTTTTATCCTTACAACAAGTGCCGGTACCGATCTATTTTCTTATTTATATGGTTTTAAAGTCACGCAAATGCAATTATATGACCAATAAACATTCTCAAAACTAGTAATGTATAATAATATAAAGGATATACAAATGTTATTAGTAGTTTTGACTACATCACGAAAATTACTGATCGTATTGGGTGAACCTGTTCGCGAAAATATATCGTATTGTGAAGTTCGAATTGCAATATACCGCTTAACTGGTATTATCGCCCACCCCTAGTCATTTTTGTCAATGGGTTGATAACATTGATGCCTTTATATCAACTACTGCTGATTTATTCGCCAGGTTATACTGAAGTATTACTGAAATAAAGCCTTGATATTGTATGGTTCATTCTCTCCTTCACAGTTTGAGTTCAAATAGCAGTCTGATTCGCAAGCAGCTTGAGTTTCAACATCGAAATTCTAGCCAGGCCTCATATATTGCTTCAAACTGCAACAATCATATTTTAAAAATACCAGATGAAAGGTTAAGAGGTTTGAAAGTTAACAGTAATGTTTCTACCCGTATCTTCCATGCAGATTTATAAGTAAGTGGAGTGCGAGTTTCAATTCATACCACTTTGAACAGCATTTCAGCCACATCACCGCGTGTCATGTCGATATCGGGGGAAGCTCGTGGTCGTGACAGACCATCATAAACAGGTCAAATCTGGAATTTCAGCAAACCTGTATCCCTGAGGGGCGGTGGGGTAGGCTAGTGGTTAAAGTGTTCGCTCGTCATGCCAAAGACCCGGGTTCGATTCCCCACATGGGTACAATGTGAGAAGCCCATTTCTGATGTCTCCCGCCGTGATAATACTGGAACGTTACTAAAAGTGTCGTAAAACCATACTCACTCACTTTATGCAGCCATATAGTGTACTTTGCCTTCCTTGCTTCGTCATTCTCCTTAAAAAGGTCGTGCATCAAGATGATGACGTCTTGGATGACACCGAGAACCTGGTCCACCGCTAGAGCTTCCAGATCGCCGTTACCATAGAAACCTGATACGGAAAATATTTGATGATACACACTATGTGTTAGTACATTTATACCCACCTTGTGATTCACATGATTCATAAAACAGAAACTCGTTATTCCGGACAGTACCACAAAGTCACGTCTGGATTAAAGATATTTGGATTAACGAACTTCCCCTTCTTAGAAATTTCCCTCTATCTATCTATCTGTCTATCTATCTATCAATCTTTTCTCTCTCGGGATCAGGTGGTCAGACTGACTCGGTTGACACATGTCATCGTATCCCAGTTTCGTACATCGATGCTCATGATGCCCATCACTGGATTGTCTGTTATAAACAATGTTAGATGCAGACCACTGTCTTATAGCTGGAACATTCCTGGGTGCTGCTTTTAACAACAAACAAACACAAAACCATGGAAACAATAAATCTCACGCACATGCTCAAATATTATGTCCAAAAGAATAAAAATTAGATACAGTAAAGTGTCCACCACTATTGACGAAAGACCTTCAAGGTGACTTTCAACATGAAAGACTCACGTCACGATCTCCGGCCGTCAAGACACAGATAACCACTATGTCACATTGAACTAAAGAAAATCTTTATCGTGTAGCTCGCCCGAAATGTGGGACTATAAGATAGAACACATCAAGGTGAGAAAAAACCCGAGCTATGATGTCATATGATACCATCAGCTCTTACTGATACTTCATCTCCAATGATTGCAGGCTCTCTGAGAACATCACTCGTATACAGCGGCGATGGGATGGCCCTGTTGTTAAAGTGTTCGCTCTTCACGCCGAAGACACGGGTTCGAATCCCCACAAGGGTACAATGTGTGAAGCTCATTTCTGGTGTCCCCCGCCGTGATGTTGCTGGAATTTTGCTAAAAGCGGCGTAAAACCAAACTCAGTCAGTCAGTCAGTCTTCACGCCAAAGTTTAGTTTTACTCCGCTTTTAGCAATATTCCTGCAATATCACGGCGGGGGACACCAGAAATGGCCCATGTGGTAAATCGAACCCAGGTCTTCGGCGTGATGAGTGAACACTTTAACCACTAGGCTGCCCCACCGCCTCTTCACGCTAAAGAGCCAATGTGTCAATGTGTGAAGGGCATCTCTGGAGTCCCCGCCTTGATATTGACTTAATGTTGCTAAGACTGACGTGCAATCATATTCACTCACACACTCATTCATACACTCGCAGTTGGAATTTAGAATACAGAAATGTGACATGAACCTGACCCGTCTTGGTTTTGCCCTGCACTGAATCACTGACGAGTCCACTGTAAAAACCGACAATCACGCTAAACCGAAGAGAGTGTTCCGATAGGTTATATTTAATTTCGAAATCATTTTTTTAACAAATATTTTGTTTTCATTTGTTAGTAGATTAATGTTTGGTACCGTCGTAGACATTTTTCCCGTTGTTGTTAAGATTTCAACATATATATTTAGTTTAATAAGAACGTTTACTTTTCGTTTCGCAGTTTGTTGTCACTGTTCCTGAACAGAACCATTGTTTGCTTGTAATAACCTTTCACATAGATGTGTCAGTTTCTCTGTCTGCATTTGTTCACATGTGAACATGTCATTCGTAACTACTCGCCTCTTTCCGTGACATATAAGAAGACTTGTACCCCTATCGTATTGACAAGAATCGTGGCAAACCAATCAAATCGCGCGGAGAAAAACGCATTTCGAAGCATGAAAATGGCGACTCCGTCGAACTTTGAAACTTCGCAACTTGAAACTATACAAATCACAATTTAAACATAAACTTTGAGCTAAAAAATCAGACACTTTCAACGCTGAAACAAATTTACAAAGGGAATGACTGTTTTGCCCCCGGGATATAGGATATTCTAGGAGTTTGTAATTCAGAGTTATCTTTCCTTGGTAATATATCTTGGCAATGTAATGTATATTAGAAAATTTTCATGTCCATGCCCGTTTGCACTTAGACAGGGCCCAGTCGTAAACATGGCCACGAGAGGGGTACGGGACACCATCCGGCTTGCCGGAATGACACGAGTAGTCATGAATGGTGAACTTATGTCATGTTTTCTCAGCTACCCACTCCGCGCCTTTCAATTTCTTCAACACTTCTCAGCTTAAAGCAATTGCAATAAAATTATATCGCTTTTCCATCGGTTTCTTTTTCAAATACAGCCCATCGTAACTGACACTCCAAACAAGCAAGCCATCACAAGATGGGTTTCAACTATGTTAACATCAGTTGAGATACAGTCGCAACATATTCAGGATCCTTTTGCCAGTTAGTAAAGGAATTCTGAATAAAATCAGTGTGATGCGAATTGTAAATAAGGGGACACGTACGTACATCACTATGAAACCTCTTAACAAACATTGAATTTTAAAAACAGATTTTAAAACACATATTTCCTTCTGGTTGTAAGTAGAGTTGTGTTGGGTACCGCAGACAAACATTGCTGCCGTTATTCTTAAAATATCATCATATTTATTTAGTTTTATAGGAATGTTTGCTCTTGCGTTTTAATTACATTTCTAAACGTTTCTATACATTGCTATTGTTTGCTGGTTATAGCCTTTCGCAAAAGATGTGAAAGTTAGGCAAGAGTATTCACTACCTGTATTTGAAACCCTCGTATAAAGTACGCGTTGAAATTTGAACTAATGTCACGATTCCTTCAACACTTTCCAGCAGCGAAATATAAAAAAATACAACTGCAATTTCTTTCAAACACTAATTGAACAAGTGTTTTAGGGAAAGACCAAGGTCGCCTTACATCCCTTAGGCGTAGCATGATCTGCTGATCCTAGATTCTCCGCAAAGATGATCCTTAGACTGTCAGAAAAAAACTCCTTTTCGATGGTAAATTTTAATAATAACTCTAACACGACACCAAATTAACGCAAGTGCCTTTGCAAAAAGTACCTTTAAACTTTATAAAGCAATCAGGCAGTTCGAGTGAATGCTATCATTTTGATATGTTCACAAACTGCTTAACGCATATTTGAAACTTAAAGCAGGAACTTTCAAATAACACATGTTTAGATGAGGTTGAAAAGTTGAACACCTAAACTACATGGCATGTATATATGTGTTATATATTGGTGCTGTTTAGGTAAAGTAATGAGAGAGAGAAATGCACACATGGACAGATGACTGGCGTGATGAATGTATAGTTTATGTCAGAATCACTATGCTATTTTAGTGAGCTAGTTTTTTTTCAGAACTTCAATAGTCAGGATTCCGTTGCAAAATTACATTGTTCCTAAAATGTCCTTCATTAGAGCTGAGTATGACTATGACTGTTGTGTCAACGTATATAATGAATGATACAAGAGACATAACACAACCTTGGGGAACACCACTTCAAACTTTATTTTTTGCCCTTGTTAACATGCGTCTATGCCAGTTAAGTAGATGATATTTAGGTGTAAACACCTCTTTTTTACGTGTTTCCCGTCTTGAAGCAGTAGGGCCACTTTTACAGTTTAGGTGCCAAACTATTATTCTTCTAGAGATGTTACTTATTTTTTTCGCTGAAATTACAAAACAGGACTTTTTTGTAAAGAATATATTGCCTAGTCAGTATCTAAATGTGAAAATAGTGTTTACTTATAAAAGCTTTCGAACTGAGTGTCCAAATGAACTGACAAGCTTTTTATTGTTTATATTAAGAAAATGTTTACAATCTTCTATGATAAATCGGGAGAAAATCGTTATTAGGATTTGACTCTTTATATATGTTTCACATTATTTCACCAAGCACTTATCACTTGTACATAATGAACAAGATCCGTGAAAATCCGGGTTAGGATTGGTCTTCAGCAGCCCATGCTTGTCTTAAGAAAGTGTCATATGTCATGGTATTCCATCTGCACAGCGCGATGCTCATGCCGTTCACCACTGGATTATCTGGTCCAGATTCGATTATTTACAGACAGGAATATTGCTGACATAAGGGACAATGTCCGTGTATCACGTCAAAACGCTGTGACTGGACGTTTCTCAACCCATGCTTTGATTCTAGGGTTGGAGCCAACGTTGTCAATGCATTTCTTGGCCAGAGGGTAGTCTTCCCACTTCACTATGGCCTCTGAGCTTTTATCATAGATATCAAGCAGACTGACGTCAGCAATACTAATCTGAAAAAAAAGTATTCATAAATCCAATGACACACTGGAAATTCAATATGGTTAGGAAAGATTTTGGTTAATAAGAACAGTACATTTGTCAAAGAGATCAAACAGTGTTTCACGTATTTTTCATCGTTATATGATTTGCAATTTGACAGTGCTGAAATATACTTAAGAAAATCAACAACAGTTTCCAGAAGGTTAATGTGAAGAACATTTTTCACTTATTAATCGGCGTCGGGCTAACTGGCCCTAATCCCCAACAATGACACGTCATGTAGAAGATTATGTTGCTACACGGTTGAAAAGTGTTCTAGTTCAAGTCAATATTTTGGTTTTCTAATTATAGATATTGAAATCTGTGCGAATAAATGTACTCGTTCTGTTACCTCATTGGTATAACCGTCAGCTATCTTCAGTGAGTTCTATATGTAGCTAATGTTCTGTCAGTTTGTAGTCTTCGTGATGGTAATAGCAGTAGCAGTTGTTCCCGTGATAGTAGTAATAGTAGTAGCAATAGTAGTAGTAGTAGAAGTAGCAATAAAAGTAGTAGTCGCAGCAGTAGTAGTAGTAGTAGTAGCAATAGTAGTAGTAGTAGCAGCAGTAGTAGTAGTAGGAGTAGCAATAGTTGTAGTAGTTGCAGCAGTAGTAGTAGTAGCAATAGCAGTAGTAGTAGCAGCAGAAGTAGTAGTAGTAGTAGCAGCAGCAATAGTAATGGTAGTCGAAGTAGATAAACTATTGATCCTTGGACTAGTGGTGGTAAGATAGCAGTAGTAGTGATGGTAGTAGTGGGAGTAGTGGCAGTAATTGTAGCAATAGCTATAGTAGCCGTAGCAGATAGACTATGAATTCATGTGGTATTAATAGTAGTAGTAGCAGCAAAAGTAGAAGCAGTAGTGGTACTAGCAGCAAGAGTAGTAGTAGTAGTAGTAGTAGTAGTAGTAGCAGCAGCAGCAAGCGTAGTAGTAGTAGTAGTAGTAGCAGCAGCTCGATTCCCCACATAAATACAATGTGTGAAGCCCATATCTGGTGTCCCCCGTCGCGATATTGCTGGAATAATTGTAGTAGCAATGGTAGTAGGAATAGTAATAGTAGTCGTAGCAGATAAACTATTGATCTTTGTAGTAGTGATAGTAACATAGCAGCAGCAGTAATAGTAGTAGTTGTTGTTATTGTTGTTGTTGTCGTTGTTGCGGTGGTAGTAGTAGTTGTTGTTGTAGCAGTAGTAGTAGTAGTAGTAATAATAATAGTAGTAGTAGTAGTAGTAGCAGTAGTAGTAGTAGTAGTAGTAGTAGTAGTTGGTGTAGTAGTAGTAGTAGTAGCAGTAGTAGTAATAGTAGTGGTAGTAATAATAGTAGTAGTAGTAGTAGTTGTAGTTGTAGTAGTAGTTGTAGTTGTAGTAGTAGTAGTAGCAGTAGTAGTAGTAGTAGCAGTAGTAGTAGTTGTTGTAGTAGCAATGCAACCTTAGAAGAAGCAATGTCAGTCTGATACAGTAATGGTAGGGGCTTCACCTTCTTGCCAACAAAGAATCCATTACTGCCATTCTGTTTCAGCAATTTCTCCAACATCCCGAAATACAGCGGTACTTTGACATCCTTTAGCTCTTTCGCCAACTCACCCTGAAAGGATGAAGACTTTATCAGTAAACAGAGTGCGAGTTTAGATTCACAAAACCTTGAGTGGTATTTCAGCCACATCACCGCGTGTCATCTCCGTGTCGGAGAATAGCACTCAGGACAGATCATCATGCACAGGACAAATCTGGAATTACAGCGGACCTTTATCCAGAGGGGAGGTGGGGTAACTTTGTCGTTAATGTGTTCGCTCGTCACGCTGAAAATCCGGGCTCGATTCCCCACATAAATACAATGTGTGAAGCCCATATCTGGTGTCCCCCGTGGCGATATTGCTGGAATATTGCTAAAAGCGGCGTAAAACTCACTCACTCACTCACTTTATCCAGCCATATAGTGTACTTTACCTTTCTTGTTTCGTCATTCTCTTTAAAATGGTTGCCCATGAACGTGATGACGTCTTGGATGACACCGAGAACCTGGTCCACCGCTAGGGCTTCCAGATCGCCGTTACCATAGAAACCTGAAATTATTTGATGATACATTATGTTAGTACATTTGTACCTGCCTTGTGATTCACATGCTTCACAAAATAGAAACTCGTTATTCCGGACAGTACCACTAAGTCACGTCTGGATTAACGATATTCGGATTAACGTACTTCCCCTATTTAGAAATACCCCCTAACTTCATTTATCAAAAACCACGGCCAGGTCTACCACTTCTCGGACGACCTCCTATAACGAGTCGACAAAGTACAAAACCCTGACTAAAGTTCAACCTTTTATAATCATTGTCAAATGACTGTCAAAACCTTTACGTGCAATCTGCTTTAGATTTCCTTTCTATGGCATTTTTGCGCAGTTTAATAATACATGCTGTATTGTAAGGGCATCAGAAATATAAAACAGTTACATTTGCGCAGTACATTAGTTCATGAACATTTGACTAAAATCGATATACCTACGAAGATCCGGGTTAGAATTGGTTTTCACTAACCCATGCTTGTCGTAAGAGACGACTAACGGGATCAGGTGGTCAGGCTCGCCGACTTGGTTGACACATGTCATCGTATCCCAGTTGCGTAGATCGATGCTCATGATGTTGATCACTGGATTGTCTGGTTCAGACTCGATTATTCACATATAGTTGAAATATTGCTGAGTGTGGAGTTAAACAACCAACCAGCCAACTAAAATCGATTAGTAAAAATATTGCATTTCTTTTGAATTTGACAATCATGTGGGTTTCCATTGTTGTTTCTAGCTTCTGGGTTTTTTGGGGTTTTTTGGGGGTTGGTTGGTTGGTTGGTAGTTGTTTTGGGTTGTTTTTGTATTTTTAAGGGTGTGTATAGTAGCTTCCGCAATACTTCGTTCTTACACTCTTTGTTGAAGCAAATGTGACTTTAATTACTCGGACAACGCTGACTGTCATTTACAGATTTACAGTACTGAGTGACTGAGTATGATTTTACGCCACTTTTAGCAATATTCCAGCAATATCACGGCGGGGGACACCAGAAATGGGCTTCACACATTATATCCATGTGGGGAATCGAACCCGTGTCTTCGGTGTACAAGCGAACGCTTTAAACACTAGGCTACCCCACCGCCCTCATTTACAGTAAATAAACGGACTTCCTGCAGTCAGGAGCATTTCACCTTCTTCAACAAAAAACACGAATTCTTACTGCTCCGTCAGCTCTTACGTCAATCATGGGCTACTGGACGCCCATTTAGTCGATGAAGCCCACAGTGATATGACCGACATTTTCGACTCACCAAATGTCCTTGCAAGGTATCTGGATATGGCGCCGCTCTGGCTGAAGGGTTTTCCATCAATCTCAAGGACGGGCATCTGACCCAGAGGGGTATCTACAAAATACATTTTATATCTACAACAAGGCGATAACACGACACGATGTGGCGTTAATACGAAAAGGCGATATTGCCATATGGTGACGCGATATTGCAATACAGAGACATGTTACCATATGGCGACAAAGAGATATATTGCGATATTTCTCAGCTGTCATTTGTGAAAGAAAGGATAAGCCATTTTGTTTTGGATTATCGCCATATCGTGTTATCGAAATATCGTTGCGTGTTATCGCTGTGTTTTGCTGCTTCGTAATATCGATATATCATGTCGGCATATCGCAATATCACGTGGTACTCTTTCTTTTTCGCTATATCGCCAGGGTTTTTCCGATGGCCATAATCAGCAACCATAGATAATTCATTATTGCCAAATTGTATATAAATACTAAACGTCAAGGCCCGTTGACAGACCCGTGAAGAACCGGGTAAGAATTTATCTTCAGCAACCCATGCTTGTCGTAAGGGGCGACTAACGGGACCGGGTGGTCAGGCTCGCCGACTTGGTTGACACATGTCATCGGCTCCCAATTGCACTGGGTTGTCTGGTCCAGATTCGATTGTTTTACAGACCGCAGCCATATAGCTTGAATATTGCTGAGTGCGGCGTTAAACACCAATCAATCAATCTACCCGTGTACCAAACCACTTAAAATATCCTTACTTGGCTTCTCCGCAGCCCATTGTTCGTGGGTGATCCTGACGTCCTCGAACTCCTGACCAGCAAGCGCAAACATCAGTCGGCACACTTCGCCCATTGCCTTGTAGTTGAAATAACGAAATCTGTATGTCGGCATGATCGTGGGTATACGGTGAGAGTGCGACCTCCGCCTTCAACTGCTGTCTTTGCCCTTATGCGCGGTGATATGCAGTTACATGTTCATTGTGTGTTCAAACAGCGTCCCGGATTGAGCTGGGTCACCACCGCGAAATCGTGGTGTGGGTTTTGAGCAGAGATAAAGAAGGGCGTCTCTCTTTGCACGGCTTGGCTTGTGTTTGCGTTTGGTAGTTGTTGTGTAATGACCGGGTTAAGTTCCCCAATCTAAAGCTTTCACGAGTGACCTCAATCGAAATATTTAACGGGAAAAGAGTCAGAATAGCAATTGTTACCAAATGTACTCTTACCGGTAGATAAAGATTTCGGTTGGCTTTTTTTGAGCATGTGTGTGTGTTCGTGCGAGTTTATGCGAGTTTATGTGCGTGCGTGCGTGCGTGCGTGCGTGCGTGCGTGCGTGCGTGTATGTTTCTGCATTTAAATGCATCTGTTCATAACGCAGGTCCATGCTAACATCCTGTTGCTGTTTCAATGAATACCCCACACAGTTAGTTATACTCCGAGCCGTCCAAGTCCTCTTCTATCCCAGTCTTGCTGAATGCCAGGCAGGGCAACAACAAATAGCACAGTTCAGCCTGTTTAGGTGGGACATGGCAACAAACCACCAACTGTCCGCTCTCCTCCCTTATGAAAGTTAGAGGAAAATCAAATAACATTTTCAACCTTTCTAAAAAAGAAAACCATTGATAAAACCTCAGAATTAGAAACTAAAATTAAGGACTATGAAGAATCAATAAGAAAATACTTTCAAACTATTGAGGAAAATTCATTATCTGAACTTGCAAAACATAAACTTGAACTACTACAACAAATTAAAGAAGATGAAATAAGGGGTATACAGCTCAGAAACAGAATTTTATGGTATGAAGAGGAGGAAAAACCAAACAAATATTTTTGCAACCTAGAAAATATAAATTATGTCGGCAAATCAATTAATAAGATTGTCACGGATAACAATGACGAAATTACTGATAGCTATTCTATCTTAAATGAAGTAAAAACATTTTACAAAAACATTTACTCTTCTGGCGGGAAATACGAGGATGATTCTTGTTTACAAGATGTGGTAACACCCACTTTAAGTGACCATCTTAGAGACAAATTAGAAAAAGATATTGACATGGAAGAAATAACATTGGCTGTTAAAAATATGAAAAATAACAAATGTCCTGGAGTAGATGGATTTCCAATAGATTTCTGTAAAATATTTCTGGAAAGACCTTAAATATTGGATCTATAGATTTATTAAAGATATTCTATATAAGAATCAAATGTCCTTTACAATGAAAAGAGGTGTCATTACATGTATACCCAAGCCAAATAAAACAGAACCCTTTTAAAAAACTGAATACCAAAAACTTTATTGAATTCACTGTATAAAATAGTAAGCACTTGTTCTAATCATTTAAAAACACCCTTGTACTCTCTAAATCATGAAAATCAGACTGGATTTATACCTGGTAGAAATAAAAGCGAAAATACAAGATTACTGTATGACATTATGTTTGAGACAAAAAGAAGAGACATCCCAGGTTTATTCATTTTGATCGATTTTGAAAAGACATTTGATACTGTCTCTAAAGATTTTATCAATTTGGTATTAAAAAAGTATGGTTTTGGTCCCCAAATTATTAACTGGATAAATATCCTAACCTATAATACAACTTTTTGTGTTATTCAAAATGGACATCTATCAGAATTCTTTTCAATTGAACGGGGCTGTAGACAAGGGGATCCGTTATCACCATATCTTTTCCTTTTTGTAGCTGAAATCCTTGGATGCATGATAAGACAAAATGAAAATATCAAAGGTATAGTAATTGTTGGTATCGGAGTATAAATAAGGACAATATGCAGATGATACTGAATTGTTTTTAGATGGTACAGAGAAATGTCTTTATTCTGCTGTTGATACAATTAATACCTTCTATAAGATGTCAGGACTAAAAAAAAATATTGATAAGACTAAAGCAATCTGGATTGGTTCAAAAACAGTCTGTGGAGATTAACTATGTCAGGATTTGAATATTGAATGGCGAAAAAATGAATTTGATGTTCTGGAAATTATATTTAACGCCGAACTGATCATGAAGGATTTATGGATCATTAATACAAAGAAAACACTAGAGGAAATTAACAGATTATTGGCTGTGTGGAGAAAAAGACATGTAACACTAATCGGCAAAATCACTGTTATCAAGACACTGGCTATCTCAAAGTTAGTTCATATTTTCAATACTTTACCAAACCCACCCCAAGATTTTGTTACCTCCTTTGATAAAATATGTTTCAAATTCATTTGGAATGACAAAAATGACAAAATAAGAGAAGTACTTTGAAAAAAGATTATATACATAGGGGTTTAAGAATGATTGACATAAATACCTTTATCAATGCCTTGACGTGTTTCCCGACTTGAAGCAGTAGGGTCACTTTTACAGTTTAGGTGCCAATCTATTATTCTTCTAGAGATGTTATTTTTTTCGCTGAAATTACAAAACCGGACTTTTTGTAAAGAATAGATTTCCTAGTCAGTATCTAAATGTGAAAATAGTGTTTACTTATAAAAGCTTTCGAACTGAGTGTCCAAATGAACTGACAAGCGTTTTATTGTTTATATTAAGAAATTGTTTACAATCTTCTATGATAAATCGGGAGAAAATCGTTATAAGGATTTGACTCTTTGTATATGTTTAACATTATTTCACCAAGCACTTATCACTTGTACATAATGAACAAGATCCGTGAAAATCCGGGTTAGGATTGGTCTTCAGCAGCCCATGCTTGTCTTAAAAAGTGTCATATGTCATGGTATTCCATCTGCACAGCGCGATGCTCATGCCGTTCACCACTGGATTATCTGGTCCAGATTCGATTATTTACAGACAGGAATATTGCTGACATAAGGGACAATGTCGTTATATATCACGTCAAAACGCTGTAACTGGCCGTTTCTCAACCCATGCTTTGATTCTAGGGTTGGAGCCAACGTTGTCAATGCATTTCTTGACCAGAGGGTAGTCTTCCCACTTCAGTATGGCCTCTGGGTTTTTATCATAGATATCAAAAAGACTGACGTCAGCAATACTAATCTGAAAAAAAGTATTCGTAAATCCAATGACACACTGGAAATTCAATATGGTTAGGAAAGATTTTGGTTAATAAGAACAGTACATTTGTCAAAGAGATCAAACAGTGTTTCACGTATTTTTCATCGTTATATGATTTGCAATTTGACAGTGCTGAAATATACTTAAGAAAATCAACAACAGTTTCCGGAAGGTTAATGTGAAGAACATTTTTCACTTATTAATCGGCGTCGGGCTAACTGGCCCTAATCCCCAACAATGACACGTCATGTAGAAGATTATGTTGCTACACGGTTGAAAAGTGTTCTAGTTCAAGTCAATATTTTGGTTTTCTAATTATAGATATTGAAATCTGTGCGAATAAATGTACTCGTTCTGTTACCTCATTGGTATAACCGTCAGCTATCTTCAGTGAGTTCTATATGTAGCTAATGTTCTGTCAGTTTGTAGTCTTCGTGATGGTAATAGCAGTAGCAGTTGTTCCAGTGATAGTAGTAATAGTAGTAGCAATAGTAGTAGTAGCAGCAGCAGTAGTAGTAGTAGTATTAGTAGTAGCAGCAGTAGTAGTAATAGCAGCAGTAGTAGTAGTAGTAGCAATAGTAGTAGTAGTAGTAGTAGTAGCAGCTGCAGTAGTAATGGTAGTCGAAGTAGATAAATTATTGATCCTTGGACTAGTGGTGGTAAGATAGCAGTAGTAGTGATGGTAGTAGTAGGAGTAGTGGCAGTAATTGTAGCAATAGCTATAGTAGCCGTAGCAGATAGACTATGAATTCAAGTGGTATTAATAGTAGTCGTAGCAGCAAAAGTAGAAACAGTAGTGGTACTAGCAGCAAGAGTAGAAGTAGTAGTAGTAGTAGTAGTAGTAGCAGCAGCAATAATTGTAGCAGTAATGGTAGTAGCAATAGTATTAGTAGTTGTTGTTGTAGCAGTAGTAATAGTAGTAGTAGTAGTAGTTGTTGTTATTGTTGTTGTTGTCGTTGTTGCGGTAGTAGTAGTTGTTGTTGTAGTAGTAGTAGTAGTAGTAGCAGTAGCAGTAGTAGTTGTTGTTGCAGTAGTAGTAGTAGTAGCAGTAGTAGTTGTTGTAGTAGCAATGCAACCTTAGAAGAAGCAATGTCAGTCTGATACACTAATGGTAAGGGCTTCACCTTCTTGCCAACAAAGAATCCATTACTGCCATTCTGTTTCAGCAATTTCTCCAACATCCCGAAATACAGCGGTACTTTGACATCCTTTATCTCCTTCGCCATCTCACCCTGAAAGGATGAAGACTTTATCAGTAAACGTAGTGCGAGTTTAGATTCACAAAACTTTGAATGGTATTTCAGCCACATCACCGCGTGTCATCTCCGTGTCGGAGAATAGCACTCAGGACAGATCATCATGCACAGGACAAATCTGGAATTTAAACGGACCTTTATCCAGAGGGGGAGGTGGGGTAACTTTGTCGTTAATGTGTTCGCTCGTCACGCTGAAAATCCGGGCTCGATTCCCCACATAAATACAATGTATGAAGCCCATTTCTGGTGTCCCCCGTGGCGATATTGCTGGAATATTGCTAAAAGCGGCGTAAAACTCACTCACTCACTCACTCACTTTATCCAGCCATATAGTGTACTTTACCTTTCTTGTTTCGTCATTCTCTTTAAAATGGTCGCGCATGAAGATGATGACGTCTTGGATGACACCGAGAACCTGGTCCACCGCTAGGGCTTCTAAATCGCCGTTACCATAGAAACCTGAAATTATTTGATGATACGCTATGCTAGTACATTTGTACCTGCCTTGTGATTCACATGCTTCACAAAATAGAAACTCGTTATTCCGGACAGTACCACTAAGTCACGTCTGGATTAACGATATTCGGATTAACGTACTTCCCCTATTTAGAAATTTCCACCCTAACTTCATTTGTCGAAAACCATGGCGTGGTCTACCACTTCTCGGACGACCTCCTAATGAGTCGACAAAGTTCAAAACCCTGACTAAAGTTCAACTGTCAAAACCTTTACGTGCAATCTGCTTTAGATTTCCTTTCTATGGCATTTTTGCGCAGTTTTATAATACATGCTGTATTGTAAGGGCATCAAAAATTTAAAACAGTTACATCGTATCCCAGTTGCGTAGATCGATGCTCATGATGTTGATCACTGGATTGTCTGGTTCAGACTCGATTATTCACGATTATTATTATTGCTGAATGTGGAGTTAAACAACCAACTAGCCAACCAAAATCGATCAGTAAAAATATTGCATTTCTTTTGAATTTGACAATCATGTGGGTTTCCTTTCTTGTTTCTAGCTTCTTCTTTTTTCTTTTTGTTTGTTTGTTTGGTTGGTTGGTTGGTTGGTAGTTGTTTTTTGTTTTGGGTTGTTTTTGTTTTTTTAAGGGTGTGTATAGTAGCTTCCGCAATACTTCGTTCTTACACTCTTTGCTGAAGCGAATGTGACTTTAATTACTTGGACAACGCCAACAGGAAAACCAACTGACTGAGTATGATTTTACGCCACTTTTAGCAATATTCCAGCAATATCACGGCGGGGGACACCAGAAATGGGCTTCACCCATTGTACCCATGTGGGGAATCGAACCCGTGTCTTCGGTGTACAAGCGAACGCTTTAAACACTAGGCTACCCCACCGCCCTCATTTACAGTAAATATACGGACTTCCTCCAGTCAGGAGCATTTCACCTTCTTCAACAAAAAACACGAATTCTTTCTTACTGCTCCGTCAGCTCTTACGTCAATCATGGGCTACTGGACGCCCATTTAGTCGATGAAGCCCACAGTGATATGACCGACATTTTCGACTCACCAAATGTCCTTGCAAGGTATCTGGATATGGCGCCGCTCTGGCTGAAGGGTTTTCCATCAATCTCAAGGACGGGCATCTGACCCAGAGGGGTATCTACAAAATACATTTTATATCTACAACAAGGCGATAACACGACACGATGTGGCGTTAATACGAAAAGGCGATATTGCCATATGGTGACGCGATATTGCAATACAGAGACATGTTACCATATGGCGACAAAGTGATATATTGCGATATTTCTCAGCTGTCATTTGTGAAAGAAAGGATAAGCCATTTTGTTTTGGATTATCGCCATATCGTGTTATCGAAATATCGTTGCGTGTTATCGCTGTGTTTTGCTGCTTCGTAATATCGATATATCATGTCGGCATATCGCAATATCACGTGGTACTCTTTCTTTTTCGCCAGGGTTTTTCCGATGGCCATAATCAGCAACCATAGATTATTCATTATTGCCAAATTGTATATAAATACTAAACGTCAAGGCCCGTTGACAGACCCGTGAAGAACCGGGTAAGAATTTATCTTCAGCAACCCATGCTTGTCGTAAGGGGCGACTAACGGGACCGGGTGGTCAGGCTCGCCGACTTGGTTGACACATGTCATCGGCTCCCAATTGCACTGGGTTGTCTGGTCCAGATTCGATTGTTTTACAGACCGCAGCCATATAGCTTGAATATTGCTGAGTGCGGCGTTAAACACCAATCAATCAATCTACCCGTGTACCAAACCAGTTAAAATATCCTTACTTGGCTTCTCTGCGGCCCATTGTTCGTGGGTGATCCTGACGTCCTCGAACTCCTGACCAGCAAGCGCAAACATCAGTCGGCACACTTCGCCCATTGCCTTGTAGTTGAAATAACGAAATCTGTATGTCGGCATGATCGTGGGTATACGGTGAGAGTGCTACCTCCGCCTTCAACTGCTGTCTTTGCCCTTATGCGCGGTGATATGCAGTTACATGTTCATTGTGTGTTCAAACAGCGTCCCGGATTGAGCTGGGTCACCACCGCGAAATCGTGGTGTGGGTTTTGAGCAGAGATAAAGAAGGGCGTCTCTCTTTGCACGGCTTGGCTTGTGTTTGCGTTTGGTAGTTGTTGTGTAATGACCGGGTTAAGTTCCCCAATCTAAAGCTTTCACGAGTGACCTCAATCGAAATATTTAACGGGAAAAGAGTCAGAATAGCAATTGTTACCAAATGTACTCTTACCGGTAGATAAAGATTTCAGTTGCCCTTTTTTAGCATGTGTGTGCGTTCGTGCGAGTTTATGTGCGTGCGTGCGTGCGTGCGTGTGTGTTTCTGCATTTAAATGCATCTGTTCATAACGCAGGTCCATGCTAACATCCTGTTGCTGTTTCAATGAATACCCCACACAGTTAGTTATACTCCGAGCCGTCCAAGTCTTGTTCTATCCCAGTCTTGCTGAATGCCAGGAAGGGCAACAACAAATAGCACAGTTCAGCCTGTTTAGGTGGGACATGGCAACAAACCACCAACTGTCCGCTCTCCCTCCTTCCTTAAAGTTAGAGGAAAATCAATTTCATTTTCAACCTTTCTAAAAAAGAAAACCATTGATAAAACCTCAGAATTAGAAACTAAAATTAAGGACTATGAAGAATCAATAAGAAAAGACTTTCAAACTATTGAGGAAAATTTATTATCTGAACTTGCAAAACATAAACTTGAACTACAACAAATTAAAGAAGATGAAATAAGGGGTATACAGCTCAGAAACAAAATTTTATGGTATGAAGAGGGGGAAAACCAAACAAATATTTTTGCAACCTAGAAAATAGAAATTAAAATTATAATACTAATCAGTTTATTATCACACTTGTATGCATTTTGAAGCTTAATAAAAAGCAGGCGATCTGCTGATACTTATAGTGAATTTATAACAGGACTGTTATATCTAGACATTTTATAGTTTGTCAATGTGAATCATAATTCGCACACACGCCCTAGTGTATGTTGTCATTACACTTCACGGCGAAAACAATGATTCTGTTGAATGCTACGACAAATGAATAAAAACAAAATGCAAATATTAAAATTAAAACTGATTAAAGTTATAGGAACAATGTCAGGCTATTACCTTGTTCGAGGAATGTATCCATCAATATCCACATACACGCCGTTCATCTGCAGCTGTTCCAAGTGATGTGTCTTTTAACAGTCTAATATGCGAAAAGGTGATGTATCGTTTCAGGTTTTTCACATTGGTGTATAGTCTCATTGGTCACCCAAGATAGCATACCTGGCAACTACTTGCATAATGTCCACCATTCTTGAAAAAAAAGTAATTTTGTTAGCCAATAATGAGCAATCAATCAATGTATTGGCGGTTAATCCTTTGAAAGAAGGACGTTGCTTTACACAGACACCTTACGACAGAGTGTATTCAGTATAGATTAGTAAATCCACATGCATAAACACTACCTTTTGACAAATCCGCTGTGCAAGATAAAAGTAATTCATCAATCAGCGTGTTATCGGTTAATCTTTTGATCGATGTTTGTTTTTGTAACTCGGCTGATAATTCTTCTTGCTGCACTTCCATGCGCATATTACATGTAACATGTAATACATTTTCCACGGTGTCGTCTCAGGACGCCGACCTTTCGATTTGCCACTAGTCTCAGGACGCCGACCTGCGGTTTCCTTTGAAGGTTTGGTTCTGATTAGGCTTAATGAGCGTTGCGGATAATCTACTCTAGATGTTTTGATAGGGTGACCTCGTCGCACATGTCACTTCCAATTGATTGAAAAGTTTACAATAACACTTACTAGTAGTAGAGTGCCAATATTGAACACTGTTCATATCTTTGGTATAAATATCTATGGAATGGATTCACATTCTATTTCGAAATGGCAAATGCACAGCTCGATCAGAGATTCGTCCCTACAGCTCGCGGCAGTCGTTACTTGGTTGTTGGCGGGTTCACGTACAAAGTCAGCAAGAGAAAACGAGACTGGATATCTTGGATATGCACTGCAAAAGACTGATGAAGACCGCTGCCGACAACTCAGAGACTACATGACCAACTTCTGGGTGGAGGGAGATCTGCACATGACGCAATGGAACCACCACAACACAGATGGGCCAAAACAAACAACCACCTAGAAGGGTGGCATTCATGCCTGAAGAAATACGTCAGCAAGGCTCATCCAACCATTTTCGAGATTGTGTCGTTGCTGTCACGAGAACGGACCAACACCGAAAACAAGTTGGTCCAATATGCTGCTGGCCAGAAGCGTCCGTCTAAGAAGAGGAAATACAGGGATTTGGAGCGACGACTGGATGACATTTGTCACCAGCTTGAAAAAGGAACACTGTCCGTGAGGCAGTTTGCTGATTCAGCATCCCACCTATTGCATTTAGGTTAAAATCTGCGAAAAAATGTATGCTATAGGAATTTACGATGCATTTATTAAAATGCTAAAATCTGTCAACTGATAAATATCTGTCATCTGTTGTCATCTTCTCATTAGGTGCGCTCTCATCCGCATAATCCGGATTATCCTCCTCTAATAACTCTTTGATCCTGCATTGTCCTCGTAATCCATTATTAATTGGCAAAATGAAACTAGTCTCAGGACGTCGACCTTTATATTTCACTCAACCGTAAAGTTTGGTCGAAAGGTCGGCGTTATGAGCCTGAACCACTCGATATTTACTCATGGCACAAGAAATAAAAATGGGACGTCTATTTGTCGGATAATCTAAATTGACATTTGAAGTATTTGAATCGGAAAACTAAACAAACCCCCATTTCTGAATGATGACTAGAAGAATCATGTGTAGGTTTACTACCTAAATAGGTATATACAGTATTAGCATTAATTGGCAAATTGTGCTTATATTTATTTCTTGTTTAGTTTATCGGGCCGACACTTCAAATACTTTATTGAACAAAAATGCTGTGTCAGACTTTCATTTTTACAATTTGTAATCATAATGGCAAAGTAGTTTAGTTTTCCGATTCAAATACATCAAATGTCAATTTGTAATATCATACGTAATAGACGTCATATTTTTACATGACATGATTAAATATCGAGGTGAAAAACACAGAAATGGGATCAACTTGGATGAGTCATTATACCATCCAGGCATTAGAAAATCTGAAAAAAGCCTACACTGTTTTGATACTTTATTACAATCAGACAAGAACGACGGGGATATTTTCAAATAACAGCATCTGATGGGCATCCACCCTTCCTAATGTCGCACTGTTCAGGTTGAAGAAATTAACCTTAAGCGTGATGAGCGAGGTTGATCATCATTTTTACTATCACTAGCGTCTGGCTCGAACAAATAAGGCCTAGCGACACCAAGCGATTTTGACAGAATCGTCCGAAAACAAGTTGTAACTCGGCAAAGCAGGTGACAAGATTAAATGACAATGGATTGTGAGAACACATATCTTTCATTTTCCACAACAATTGTCACGATTTCAGGTTTTTACAAACCTGTAAACAAGATAATTTACCCCCTGAATGTACATAAATTCTAAAGCGCCCCTCGTATGTATACGTCACGGAGACGCACCCCTCTGATTGGTTGAAATTTCGTTCGCGGGAGAGAATTGTGCACTGTTGTCAAAAAGGTCGATTTAAGTAATTAAAGATCGAAATGAGTAGTTTTAATGACGGGGTTTCATTTATAACTATGCCAATTAGTGACTTATATATTTGTACCCCCCTAGAGTATATGTGATCTTTAAAGAACCAAAACCCTTCATCACGATCACAGCTTCCTTTCAAACAGTGACAAGGAAACTCGCAATAACAACAATGAACACTGTTTAAAGTTAATCCCTTTTTGCAATAAACGACTGTCAAGCACCACAAAAACTATATCTTCATGACATGCCTAAGTAACTGGAACATCTTGCCTGTATCGTTACAAAAGAACAAAAAATAATACAAAACGGTTACAGTTTATACTTTTATTCTAATCCATGCCAACTAAAGACAGGAGCCTCGGCACGCGTTTATTCTTTTCTTCGACAAAAAAAATGAGTTGTCGATATGATGCGTGCCAGTTAAAGTATATGTTATAAAAATAGGTGTTCCTCTTCTAGTTATTTGTCCTCTACATCGGTGTTTGCGGTCGTTTGGCTAAATACTGGGCTATTCTTGGATTAGACTTGACCTTCTCTACGTTGGCCTTGACCAACGGGAAGCCATCTACCAGGCCTTTCAAAGCGCCAGCAGCCTCAAGTACATCGAAAACAGCTACATCGGCATATCCGATCTGGAAAGATCATTTTAAAATATAATCTCAGTAGTTTGAAAATGACGTACGATTTCTCAAAATCCAAATTCATAAGGATTTGCGGAAAATCGTTTAAATTAATCGCACAAAAGAGAAAGATATGCTCTTCATCTCATTTAGGTTAATGCTTCAATATTTACATGTTGAGAAGGCTACCATTTTCTCATGAAACTCGCTCAAAGGTATAGTGATATTAAGCATTTATCCGTGTTTTAACATATACTGAATACCAAAAACAAACGCGAATATTACAAATGTTGCAAATTGCATGAACTAGTGAGTGAGTTTAGGTTTACGCCGCACTCAGCAATATTCCAGCTAGAGGGTGCCGGTCTGTAAATAATCGAGTATGGACCAGACAATCCAATGATGAACATCGATCTACGCAATTGGGATACGATGACATGTGTCAACCAAGTCAGCGAGCCTGAAATACCTGAAATAAGACATAAATCAAGACGAAGTGGTGTGTGTTGGACGAGAAGATCATCGTCAGTTGTATGTTCAGATGATACTACAGTGGTTTCTAACGAAAGCCATACTCGATACTGGAATGTCATTTCCAATGATTCTTAAGTGACGTTAACAAATCACGCAGCCTAACGTTACCAAATGGCGCAGTCTTACGACGTCTTATTGACGTTTTCATTGAAGACGTCTGGTTATGAATAAAGATCATTTGTGCCTTCACTTTAAGGACTCGTGTTGTTTATCTTACATGTTTTCATAAGCAAACATCAATCAGGTTTTTTTAAGACCTTATCACAGTTTCACATGATTCGCGTTTCTTTTGGAACTGAGTATGTATACTACTCAAAAGAAGGTAAAGATGAGTAACTTCAGAATAACGGGTGTTTTATAACGTCTAGTGTGTAGTATACATGGCTGGTTTTATTCTTGCAACCTTGTTATTGGAGGACTGACCAAAACGGATCGCTTACTATAAAATTGTATCACTTTGGTAAAACCAGTCAGTACTGACCATGTTAAGATTATTTAAACTTAACCTGTTGGGAACTCAGGACAGCTGAATATTGATAATAAGTTCTTGGTGATTTCGTTACAGACAATATGTTTATACAACACGTTTTTGCGGGTATCGACAATATCCAGCGAGCTGTCCTTGAATTTTGAAACATGATGTGAATATATTGAATTTCTTGCCTTGTGCTTTTCGTATGCTTAAATCACATGTGTTTGAGCAATGTCGTTCAGAATGTTATGTTTATATGACGGGGAAAGAGTGAGTGAGTGAGTGAAGTGAGTTTAGTTTTACGCTGCACTCAGCAATAGTCCAGCTATATGGCGGCGGGCTGTAAATAATCGAGTCTGGATCAGTCAATCCAGTGATCAACAGCATGAAAATCGATCTACGCAATTGGGATGCAAATACGCAAATGATGACATGTGTCAACCAAGTCAGCGAGCCTGACCACCCGATCCCGTTAGTCGCCTTTTACAATCAGCATGGGTTGCTGAAGATCAATCCTAACCCGGATCTTCACAGGTACGGGGAAAAATAGTATACACTATGCTGGACGATGGCTAAACTGAAACAAAGATGAAACAGTAATTCGATGGGGATGCAGTTGGTAGGGATATCATTTAGACCTTATGTTCGGAGTGTTTCAGGAGTGGCTAATTCTAGAAAGATTTCATGTAAAATACTGTAAATATGTTCTTGGTGTTGGTATTACTACAACAAATGCAGCTGTTTTATCTGAATGCGGTCGTCATCATATATGTAGTGATTCTATAATAAGATGTGTTAAGTACTGGTGTAAATTATTAATTATGGAAGAGACTAGATATCCAAAACAAACCTATATTATGTTAAAAAAGAATGGACGATATTAACCGCAAGTCATGGGTAACTGAAGTGAGGAAATTATTTATGGTTTCAGCTATGCGTGGGAGTTTCAAAATATTGTTAACACTGATTTATTTTTAAACAGTTCTCTCAACGAGTTAAAGATTGTAACATCCAGTGTATATTTTCTATGTTAAATGAACATTCTAATTTAGAGTTTTATTCATGTGTCAAAAGTACGTTTAATATGGAATCATACTTTGTCAACATTATATAACAAAGATTTAAGAAGATTTTATATCACTTTTAAGATTTGGTGAATTAAATATTATGAAGAATACAGGCAGAAGAAATAATATCCCAAGAGAATTAAGATTTTGTCCATTTTGTAAGAACATTTTAGAAGATGAGGTTCATTTTGTTTATTTGCCCACAATATGATGATTTAAGAACAGGATATATGTTAAATATTAACTGTAAAGATAGAAACTCTCTCATTCGCCTTCTTCAAAATGAAAATAGCAATTATTTATATATGTATGCAAATTATATTAAGGAAGCGTTTATGCGACGTAGCGCATTATTATTGTGAATATATAGAAATATGTTCTAGTTATTGTGCACATCATACCTTTTGTATTGTAATATATATTGTACATGGGCCTGTGGCCTTTCTACTGAATAAAGTTATATCATTTAGACCTTATGTTCGTAGTGTTTCAGCGACTTTTTTAATCCTAGTAACGTTTTGATAACGTTCGAAACCTTTAGAAAATCTAATTTTCATGTTTATTCAGTTGCCAGGCAGTTTATGTCCGATGCCATACCTTGTTGCCGACGAAGAATCCAGTGTTGTTATTTTTCAGCACAGTCTCCAGGAAGCCCAGGAACTTTGGTATGTTCGTTTCATTGTTTTCCTTCACAATCTCTGCCTGCAAACAAATATAAACAATATATAGATACTGCAAACTTAACCAGATAAAGTACATTAACCTACACATTGAGGCGACAAAGATAAGTAAAAATATATGTTTAACATTTAAAGATTAATGTACTTGATAGGAAAGATATAGCCTGTATTTGTGTATGCGTGCGTGCGTGCGTACGTGTGCCGGATTGTGCCAGAACACTGAGATACCATGCCGAGTGTATGAAGCAAGTGGTTTGGATAAAAAACCACTTAGTTGCAAACATGTAAAAACGTACACTGCATATCCAAAAACCTTTATACAGGTTTTCTGTTCAAACCACTCCAGATTTTTTAATTCAACATGTGCTTTGGTACAGAGAATTATAACATGTTGCTATGCATGCAATGTCACCTTTTTGGCTTCATCCTTCTCCATGAAAACTCGAACCAAGGCTGCAAGAATGTCGGCTACTATTCCTTTGACTTGGTCAACCTCTAGTATTTCAACGTCCGTTTGCCCGTGGAGACCTGGTTAATAAATCGGATATCACACTGATCAGAATGTATCACACGCTTGATATACTCTTAGAAGTTGAAGGATGAGGACTATTTTTATGGATATGCAACTTCTTTATTCTGTATAGGTGACGTTTCGACATAGATTCTAATGTCGTTGTCAAGCAAGTCACAAAATAGTCCCCATCCTTCATCTACCCAACTTCTAGAATGCCAATCAAAGAAGACTTAGAAGTTGGGTGGTAACATAAGAACGTATGGTATGGATTTACAACTTCTTATTCTTTACAACACGACGTTTCTTAGCTACGTCTTGCCCCTTCATCAGATGAATGACAGAATATGATTTACAAGCAAAATATAGAGTGCGTACATGAGGCCAGTGAGATGGATTAAAGAATGAGATGTATAGAGATCAAGGAGATTGGTATATCAATACTAATTTATCGCATAAGCATACACTTAATCTCTTTGAACTCTGTACATCTCAATCAAAATATATCACTTAATCTTCTTCATCTCTGTACATCTCAATCTTCAGTTCCATGTATGGCCTACGCGTATATATTTTATAAATCATATTCAGCCATTCACCTGATGAAGGGGCAAGAAGTAGCCCCAAAACGTCGTGGTGTAAATAATAAAGAAGTTGTAAATCCACACCATACATTGTTACAGTGCGATCACGTATTGTAATGTCCAACTGACTAATTAGCTGTGATGAGCTGTGTCCGTTAGGTCCGCCAGGAATCTATGATCGTAGGTTTAAATGTGATATTCTCCATTACGTTTCACTGTTGAACTCCACTATCATCACAGTCCGTACAGCCACTAACAGCTAGTAAAGCTAGTAAAAATCGGCACTGATCACATTCATCGCGATGAACCATCCGTCTTGGGCCGTCTTGTGTGCTGGAAAGAGCGTGTGCATCAGAAGCCTGTTTTAGCTCAGGTGCTATCTTCTCCCTTACGTTTCACAGTTCCTATGCAATAAAGGTCCCAGTTTATGGCTACTAACTGTAATTTGAGTTAACAGTTAGCATCACATCGGCATTATTTCAGTCATGAATTATCACAGTTCAACGCCATGAACTATCTTTGGTCATACACCGAACCATTACACACCAAGGAGGATGGGGTGGCCTAGTGGTTAAAGCGTTCGCTTGTCACGCCGAAAACCCGGGTTCGATTCCCCACATGGGTGCAATGTGTGAAACCCATTTCGGGTGCCCCCTGCCGTGATATTGCTGGAATATTGCTAAAAGCGGCGAAAAATTAAAGTCACTCCCCTCTCATTATACATCAAATTACAAATAAAAGATGACTTGTAATACAATTATAGGTACAGCCTACACAACTCACCAAAGCGTCTGGCCAGGAAGCTGGCGATCGCTATGCTCTCCCCGTACTGTTTCCCGTCTAACTCCAACACTGGAAGTCTGCTGAACACGTACTCTGGAATTAAAGAAACATAAAAACCTGCATACTGTGGAACGTGTAGTTTTATCTGGAAACCGTTGTAGCATTCCATGTTTGTCCCTGCATGAAACTCTTTGATTCATCGTATTAGAGGATCATTCCACGGTTAAACGGTAAATGGAATCCACGATCTTGTCACGGCAGACACCATTCAATCAACCATTCACCTAACCAATCACTCAACCAAACACTCAACTATTCACTCAACAACTCAATCAATCAATCAACCATTCACTCAACCATTCACTCAAGCATTCACTCAAGCATTCACTCAAGCATTCACCTAACCAATCACTCAACCAAACACTCAACTATTCACTCAACAGCTCACTCAACAACTCACTCAACCACTCACTCAACCGCTCACTCAACCACTCACTCAACCACTCTCTTAACCTATTACTCAATCCCGCACCCAACCACTCACTCACTCAACCGCTCACTCACTCAACCACACACTCACGAAGCCCGCTCACCCTACTCACTGCCTTTCTGCGCTGGCCACTCTTCCATCGTGATTCTGACGTCATCATATTCCTGTCCCGCGAGCACGAACAGCAGCCGCGACAGCTCCCCACGTCCACGGATGTTGAAGTAAATCAGCTTGTATTGAGGCATGTTTGCTCCGACTAGCTCTCTCCAAAGCGGTGACACAAGTGATGCAAGAAGACATGTCTCCCCTTTAAATAGATTACCCGTTCAACGTGACTAGACTAAATTAGTACAGCAGGACAAGGTCAAGGTCGACGGAGCGTTGCTCGTATGGGAGGAGACTAATCTCGAATGTACACAATGTACTCGCCGCAACGTTGCTGAATCACAAGGGGAAGAAGTCAAGATGACCTTTTCGTGTGTCAGGAGTGATCACCCTAGCACGTTACTGGGTTTGACATGTTTAGACTCGACAGTACTTCTCTTCAGAGGCATAATTGAGACTAAAACATGAGCTTGAACTGTCTTTATTATGCAAATTATGTGAATGGTGGTTCTGCTCATGTGGCTAGAAAAAAGCACTCCCTAAATTTAAATGCTAGATAGCATAGTATCGCCCGCCCTAACGTAAATACTGCATTATCTGGTGTGACCCACATTGACGAAAATACATGTACAGCATTTAACCACACAGACTAAATTGAGCACTGTGAAGCTGATCAACCCAGCCTTAAATACTTCATAGTGTAGTATAACCTACCCAGCCTTAAATACCGCATAATGTAGCATGACCCACCCAGCCTTAAATACCGCATAATGTAGTATGACTCACCCAGCCTTAAATACCGCATAATGTAGTATGACCTACCAAGCCTTATATACCCAATAATATAGTATGACCTACCCATGCTTAAATACCGCATAATATAGTATGACTCACCCAGCCTTAAATACCGCATAATGTAGTATGACCACCCAGCCTTAAATACCGCATAATGTAGTATGACCTACCTGCAGCCTTAAGCCTATATACCCAATAATATAGTATGACCTACCCATGCTTAAATACCGCATAATGTAGTATGACCCACCCAGCCTTAAATACCGCATAATGTAGTATGACTCACCCAGCCTTAAATACCGCATAATGTAGTATGACCCACCCAGCCTTAAATACCGCATAATGTAGTATGACCTACCCAGCCTTAAATACCGCATAATGTAGTATGACCTACCCAGCCTTAAATACCGCATAATGTAGTATGACCTACCCAGCCTTAAATACTGCATAATGTAGTATGACCTACCCAGCCTTAAATACTTCATAGTGTAGTATGACCTACCCAGCCTTAAATGCTGCATAGTGTAGTATGACCAACCCAGCTTTAAATACTGCATAATGTATGACCCACCCAGCCTTAAATACTGCATAGTGTAGTATGACCTACCCAGCCTTAAATACTGCATAGTGTAGTATGACCTACCCAGCCTTAAATGCTGCATAGTGTAGTATGACCTACCCAGCTTTAAATACTGCATAGTGTAGTATGACCTACCCAGCCTTAAATGCTTCATAGTGTAGTATGACCTACCCAGCCTTAAATGCTTCATAGTATAGTATGACCTACCCAGCCTTAAATACTGCATAGTGTACTATGACCTGCACCCACCCAGCCTTAAATACTGCATTGTAGTATACCAACCCAGCTTTAAATACTGCATAATGTATGACCTACCCAGCCTTAAAATGCTTCATAGTGTATAGTATGACTACCCAGCCTTAAATGCTTCATAGTATAGTATGACCTACCCAGCCTTAAAAACTGCATAGTGTACTATGACCCACCCAGCTTTAAATACTGCATAGTGTAGTATGACCTACCAAGCCTTAAATACCGCATAATGTAATATGACCTACCAAGCCTTAAATACCCCATAATATAGTATGACCTACCCAGCCTTAAATACCGCATAATGTAGTATTACCAACCCAGCTTTAAATACTGCCTAATGTATGACCCACCCAGCTTTAAATACTGCATAGTGTAGTATGACCTACCCAGCCTTAAACGCTTCATAATGTAGTATGACCTACCCAGCCTTAAATACTTCATAGTGTAGTATGACCTACCCAGCCTTAAATGCTTCATAGTGTAGTATGACCTACACAGCCTTAAATACTTCATAGTGTAGTATGACCTACCCAGCCTTAAATACTGCATAGTGTAGTATGACCGACCCACACAGACTAAATACTGCATGGTTTAGTATAACCTTGGTTGAGGAAAATACGCCTTAATCTACTTTCCAACAAAGGCATGCTCCCCATCATTGCTCTATTTTGAAGGAAGCTTCTTAGAAGCAACGTGACGGCGTAACATTGTTCATGATGTCAAGACGCCATGACAACGTGATATTTTACCCCGTGCATATCGTTTGGAAACAATTGACTCCCGATATGTTTGCCTTCGTACGTTATAAGCATTGTAATTATCATTCTTTGAAGTTAATGCCACCTGTTGATTGCCACCTGCTTTTGTATTTGAAACTAATGGTTTTCCAATAAAACTATAACAATTAAGGTGTCCACTTCCATTGTATACCTTATAGAAAGTTTGACTTTACTTTGATAACAAGCACATATGATCGATTTCTTGAATCATATCATACAATTCAATAACAATTCTTCATTTTATATTAAATGCATAGATCAAAATACAGCAAATGACCAGAAAGATTGACTTTCACGAGTCAAGGAATCACCAGACGCCATGGATTCATGATAACCTTAGTAAATATACTCTCCCAAAAAAGAAACGCATATATGAATTTCAACTGTATTTTTATGTTTATTTTGAAACATCTTGTAGGCTTTATGAGTCAATGAAATATAGCGAAATTGCACACTGGGAATGGAGACTTATCCGTCTTTGGCACCAACTCGAGGAAAGTCAGTTTGAGTGTCACATTGAGACGTGTGGTGGCGCTGAAGTCAATACCTCGTGTGACCACCGTGGGCATCCAGAACTGCACGGCATCGCCTCGGCATCGAACGAATAAGTCTCAGAATCTCGTGTTGCCCAATCGCAGCCCACTCTGCCTGTAGTGCATGTGCGAGTTGCTGAAGTGTCTGGGGCTGAGGGTTACGGCGTCGCACCCGTCTGTCCAGGGCATCCCACAGATGTTCGATCGGGTTTAAGTCCGGTGATCTTGAGGGCCAAGGGAGCACATTGATGTTGTGGTTCTGGAGGAAGTCTCTAGTGTGACGTGCTGTGTGGGGCCTGGCATTGTCCTGTTGAAACAACTCCCTCTGGCGATCAATGATTGGAAGGAGGTGTGGGCGTAGGATTTCGTCACAGCACCGTTGACCTGTGAGGTTGCCTTGGATCATTACCAAATCACCTCTCCTACGGCAGGTGATCCCCCCCCCTCCCCCACATCATAACACTTCCCCCGCCGAATCTGTCCACCTGGGGAACGCAAGCGTCGGTGAAACGTTCACGTCGACGTCTGTACACCCGCATTCTTCCATCGCGTCGTTCAAATAGAAATCGTGATTTATCACTGAACCAGAGTCTACGCCAATTCGATAGGTTCCAGGCCTAAACGTTGGTGCACCATTGAACTCGATGTCGACGATGTTGTTGTCGAAGCACAGGGCCAAAATAAGGTCTTCTGGCACGTAAACCAGCCTCTCTCAACCTGTTCCTGACGGTCTGTGCAGAAAGCCTCCTCAATCCGGGTATTTGTCGAGAGATACTGGTCGCCGTAGCTCTTCGATGACGCAGATGATGTACCCGGATGTAGCGATCCTGCGCCGCAGTGGTCGCTTGAGGTCGCCCACTACGAGGGGCATCTGCTGCCGCATTCTGCCGGTGATATCTCTCCCAGAGCCGTGAAATGGTGCTTTGGTGAACATTCATGCGTCGGGCAACTGCACGTTGAGACTGGCCAGCTTCAAGCAAACCAACGGTTGGCTTCACTTAGACGTGGCATTTTGCGTTCATCAACAATATTCCAAATACAGTGAATAATCGACAGACAGCGATCAACCTTTATACCCATCATTGAGACTATCTGATCCCCAACTTTCACGTGCATTGCATGTGAATTGTGTATTCTGTGACACTACACGCCGAAATTGAAAATCATGCTGTTAAATACGGGTATTTTACGGATGGTGCGTTTTGTTGTGATGTTTCAAAACATAAACACCATAGGACTCATAAACAGAAAAAACCTTTTGTAAAATGAATCACGTTTTAATTCATTGCTACATGAAAATGCTATTTTCATGATGCGTTTCTTTTTTTGGAGAGTATATATATAACATAAATTTCCCACTCATAAGAATAGCAATATGATGAAGAAAATGATGCGAACCAGGTTAAACTGTGACAACGTAATATATGAAAGTATGATCGAAACATAAATCATAATAAATCCCATATGATCAAAACATCAAATTAACTTCAGACATGTCCTTGCGTAAACATTGAAAATAATTCCAAAATGAAGAAGAATAAACGTACTTTCAAAGCATAAACAAACATGTCAATATCTTGGGGGTTTTTTTTAATGTGCCATGAAGAAAAAACTTCAAAATGTAATAGAATTAACATTAAATTATTGAAAGCTATTGCTCATAAAACGTGTCCTTGCGTCATCATTGAAAATAGCTCCATAATGAAAAACAATTAACTTTAATATTCAAGACATACACAAATAATCTCTGGTATATTTAAGACGTGTCATGAAATTATAGAAAACAAATGCTAACAACATTTTGAAAATCCGTAATGAAAACGTGTTTGTCACACGCTATTTCCCATCCAACACCCCCACACACACACACCCCAACCCACACCCCAACCCACCCCACCCGGCCAGTAAGTCGATATCTGAATGTCGCAATTATCTTCTGTGTTACCCTGAAAATTATGTAAAGGTCATCGGATTGATACCAAATGTCATCCTTTAGTTTTTGAGATATCGTACAAATACTCCCTGTTACCTTGAAAATTATCTGAAGCTCACTGAATTCGACTGGCGTTAACAAAACGCACCTTGGTACCATTTTTAAGCAAAATCTGTCAATTCTTTCTTGAATTATCGCGCTAACAATCTATATATTGGTAAAACCCTCAGATTTTCGCTGTGACCTTGCAAATTATCTCAAGGTTACTAAATTCACCTGGTGTCGGTGAATCTCGCCACTACACCTTGGTACGACATTTGTACA